TTGGCACCAAGATAAACTTTATGATCAAGATTTCTCTAATGTCAAAGTAGGCATACTATCTCAGAAAAGATACTTTTCTATGCTACTCATTGCAACAGTAATCAACTCTCTTCTGGGCTTGCCTAAAATCTGGGTGTAAAATAATCAGCTATTTTAAGTGAAGATAAAAGACGATAATACATTTTCCCCTCGTATCCATAGAGGATATGTTCCAAGATTCCTGTAGAGTCCTGAAATCACAATTGTACTAAACCTTATATATACTATGTTTTTTTCTATTATACCTGCATATGATAAAGTTTAATTTATACATTGGGCACAGTAAGAGTTAATAACAACTAGTTATAAAATAAAACAATTATAACAATGCACTATAATAAAAGTCATGTGAATGTACTCTCTTGGTCTTTCAAAATATATTAATAAAATAAAGAATGAAGTTGTCCATGCATAACTGAAACCACAAAAGTGAAGCCACAGATAAAGGGGGCACTACTATAGAGATAAAGGAAAGAAAAATACAGAAAAATACAGACACTAATAAAAACAGTAATTTCAGGGGGGAAATGGGCATTTATTGAAACCTTAAAATCTGTACCCCCATAATATGCCAAAATAAAAAAAAATAAAAAAAAAACAAAAAACAAAAAAAAACAGTAATTTCTATTTTGTTATTATCAGCACAATTAGTTCAATCAAATTTGGGCATTTTTAAAAAAAATTTTAATCAATTTTTAGCAGAGAAAATTTAAAAAATTAATGTTATATTTGGAATATTTTCAGAAAGCCCTGAATCACAAAAGCAATCAAATTAGAAGATGGAAAATAATTTTTCTTAATTTGGGAAAAGTCACTATTATCTGTGCTCCCTAACAACCGTGCCACAAACTAGTACTGGTCCATGGCCTGTTAGGAACTATGCCGCACAGCAGGAGGTGAGTGGCAGGTGAGTGAGCAAAGCTTCATCTATATTTACAGATACTCCCCATCACTCATGTTACTGGGGAGTGGCTGCAAATACAGATTATCATTTGCAGAGATGTTTGACTGCACAATAATGTAATGCACTTGAATCATCACCAAACCAACCCCCTTTGCCCCCTTGTACATGAAAAACTTGTCCAGGAAACTGGACCCTGATGTCAAAGGTTAGGGACTTTAAGAGGCAGCTAAAAGTATATTTGGGATTACTTTCATTTCTTTTTTTTAACCTTCAATTAAAGATTCATACGATACTTGTTAATCGTGTGACTTTGGGTAGATGAAGTCATTTCCAATTTAGGTTCTTTATAAATGAGTTAAAATATGTAATTTCAAAATCTTTCAAGACACAAAATATATACTGATATATATACTGATGGTATATACTGATGGTAATTTTATTTTGTCAATTATCTCTTTACTAGGTTCTGGTGTAATCACTTCTACAAAAATTTTTAATTATGAAACTGATCCAATAAGGTTTCTACTGATAGTTGATACTGGGGGGCTCTTTAGACGTGTTTTAACCATTAATATCGTTGATGTTCCTGAGCCTCCAGACTGTACTGCTGATCCCCAGTTTTCTTCAGGCACAGGTAGGATACATTATTTTCTTATTATTTAATTCCAAAGCTATCTATAATGAAAGAGGCAGGGCATACTTCTTCAGCTAGAGATGTTCAGTGAATTTTTCATTATGCATATAATGTGTATTTATATAAGTATGTGAAAATATGTGCAGACATTCATGTTCATAAGAAAACAAATAACCTTTCTAAGGAATAGTTTGAAAAACAGATTTACCATGTAGAAACTGTCACTCCACAATTATGAGGTTAGAAAGCAAATACATTAAAATCAGCAAAAATACTTCAAAATACTGTAAGAGAACTAAGGAAGGAGAGAAAAATATACAAGATTCTGATAACTTAATAAACAAATTTAAACCTTCACTTTGTAAAAATGCAAATAATGAGTATGGTTGTGTGTGGGGTTGACCAAGTCTGAGACATAAGGGAAGTTTTCTCTAAAAATTAACAATTTACTTTAGAGCTAAACTCTAATAATAGTAAAGAAAGAAGAGAGGGAATACCATTTCATGCAGAAAGAATTTTATGTACAAATGCCCTGAGGCAGGATAGAGTATGGTTTATTATGAATAATTAAAAGTCTAGTATAATTGAAATGGAGAAAGTACTAAGTAACATGGTAAAAAGTGATTATTGAAAGCTAATAAGTATTTTAAGAATGTCCATCCTAGTCCTAAAGATAATGGGAATGCTTTGAAGTATGTTAAGCTGATAGGTATTTAAAATATACCCATCTTGTTGAGTGTAGAGAAAGATTGGAAGGGAGCAAAGATAAACTAGGTGTCAGTAAGCATTGTAAAAGGCCAGAAAATAAATATTTTAGGCTTTGCAAGCCAAAAGGCAAAATTGAGTCTGTTATTTATATAGTACTTAAAAGAGGGGAAACAGGTCAAGCCTGCTGGCCTGTACTCTAATCCCTGTACTTTGGGAGGATGAGGTGGAAGGATCGCTTAAGCCCCGGAGTTCCAGACCAATTTGAGCAACCAGGGAATACAAAAAAATTAAAAGATTAGCCAGGCATGGTGACACACACCTGTCTTAGCCACTGAGGAGAATAAGGTGGAAGCTTGCCCAGGAGTTTGAGGTTGCAGTGAGCTATTATTGTGCAGCTTGGGTGATAGAGCAAGACTCTGTCTCTAAAAAAATAAAATAAAAACAAAAAATAAGAGAGCACACAAATAAATTTCCACAACTATTTGTGTATACATTTTAAAAGTGTAATTTTTAAGTAGATAGTGAGGGATTCCAGGTCTCCTAGGGACAAAAGTGGGTGCTATTGCTCCCATCTTGGTCCTGCCAATCCTCATTCTCCATACTTGGAAGACAAGGGAATACTCTACAAAATACTCTACAAATCTGCCAATCAGAACTTGGCACACCAGCTACCGAATAATGCAGAGGACTCTCTAGCTCACGGGCCAAGCCACATGGTTACCATAAAGTCTGGAAACTGACCTAGAACCCACCAGCGTAGTTAAGGCTCAGGTCATGCGTCTCGTCTCCCATCTAATCAAAGTGGTTCCATGGTGACCTCTGAACCACAAGGGAGGTCCCTATCCAGACATTATGAAAGATGCACACCACAGCCAAGCTTGCGCGCTCTCTCTCTGCCCTTCTTTTTTGCCTGCCCTGCTGCAACAATGGGTCCAGTCATCATCTGTGGCGTATGTACTGTGCTCTGTAAACCTATAATCTTGCTCTTATAATTCTATCTTTCTCTCCTCAGTAAACCTCATTTTTGTGCTTGACTAACTTTGGCCTGTCTGGTCATTTTTAGCCATGAGCGCTCCAAGAACTAACCATTTCAGACTGAAACCTGACATATTTGATGCCCGGACTGGGATGTTTCTCTCTAGACAAGACTTCCTCTGCGTCTTTCTGTCCTTAGCTGTCCCTTTTCCACCCTTGCCATTTCTGTTAAATTGGATCTTTCTGCCTAGGCAAGCCTTTCTGCATAATGCTCCTGTTTTGGGATTTCCCATCCTTGCTTTCGCTTTTCCACCCTTGCCTTTTCTGAGACTCCGATGTTTCTTTTTGAGCAAGCCAGCTCACCTTTCTCCACAATTAAGCTCTCGCTTTGTGTTTTCCTGCCTCACTTTCCCTTCTCCACCCTTACCATTTCCATTCCTTGCTTTTGGTTTTCCATCCTCGCAATTTCCACGACTTGGATGTTTCTGTGTAGCAAGGTAGCTCCCCTTTCTCCACCGTAACATCCCTGCTTTGGGATTTCCTGCCTTTCAGCCGGCGCTGGAGGGCGCGCTGGTGCTCGCTTCCGGTTTCCCAGCCTCGCCTTTCTCAGATTGCACGGTTCTTGGCTAAACTTGGTTGTGTGACAAGGAGTTTGGGAACTCGTCCCTCTTGGTAGTGGAGAAGTATTTCATTTCGTTACTCTTCAGGGAATAGAGTTTTGCGCTGTAAATTTTGTGTTTCTGGGCTTTGCGTTGGTTTTGATAATGTACTTTTCTTTTGGATCTGATGAGGTGCGTGAGGCCCCTTCTTGTGTTAAGACTAAAACAGTTTTTCCTCCCCTGGTTATCTCTTCCACGTCTATCCCCACCACGTCTCTCCCACGTGGGGCACAGTTAAATGCCTACACCCCTGGTTTTATGGGGCCTTTCTCCTTCACTGGCAAGCTGCTTCTTTCACTCCATGAAGTGTCCTGCTTATTGTTGCTGGCCACCTAATCACTGTTGCTTTTACAAACGCACCAAGTTGTTTTACCAACAGATATCCAGGTTCAGGTGCTTAACAACGAGGCTTCTAGCTTTAACAGATCCCAGTGGGTATAGCCTCTCCCCTTTCTCCCTTTTCTCCCTTTTCTCCTTGGCCACATGGGATGACTCAGCTCTGACAGATCTCGGTCTCTCCCTTTCCCCTTTGGCCACTTGGTCCAGTTGTCACCTGAGGAGATCCAGCTCTGACAGACTCGGGTCTCGCCCTTTCTCCCTTGGCTACGTGATCTGGTCATCAGCTGAGGAGACTCAGCTCTGACAGACCCGGGTCTCGCCCTTTCTCCCCCTACCATGTGGTCCGAGTCATCACCTGAGGAGACCCAGCTCTGACAGACCCGGGTCTCGCTCTTTCTCCCTTGGCCACAGGGTCTGGGTCGTCACCTGAGGAGACCCAGCTTTGACAGACTCGGGGCTTGCCCTTTCTCCCCTGACCACATGGTCTGGGTGTCACCTGAGAAGATCTAGCTCTGACAGACCTGGGTCTCACCCTTTCTCCCTTGGCCACGTTATCCGGTCATCAGCTGAGGAGACTCGGCTCTGACAGACCCGGGTCTCACCCTTTCTCTCCTGACCACGTGGTCCGGGACGTCACCTGAGGAGACACAGCTCTGACAGACCTCGGTCTCTCCCTTTCCCTGGGCCACGTGGTCCTGGTCATCACCTGGGGAGACCCAGCTCTGACGTTTCTGTGAGGAGGATGGACTGTGGCTTGCTTGTGTTCTGGCGCAGGCTTCAGAAATTGGAAGAAAAGGGAGCGGCAGCAGGCAGGTGAGACATGCTCTTTATCCTGGGGGAGGGGGGAGGGGGGTAAAGCACTGGCGAAAAGCATGGCCGAGAGCACGGCGGCTGCTTTTATATATATATATATATATATGAACAATAATGGCAACATGCCATGGGAAAGAGCGATGACATGGGTTCACACAGGAGATAACACTTTAGTTACGTGAGTTTGCTGACTGACGCCTCCCCGAAGGCCAGTTAAGGGTGGGCTGCGGGGGTGGGGTGGTGGGGGGCGCAAGCTGGAATAAACACTGTGGCAGTCATCTTAGTTTGCCCTTAGAAACCTGTTGCCTATACAAATGCATTTTCCCGTACAATACCCCAGTTCTTTGGCAGTGTGATCCAGGTTCTCACCTAGGGTAGACCCAGCTCTGACAAACCCTTGTCTCACCCTTTTCTCCTTGGTCACCTGGTCCAGGTCATCACCTGGGGAGACTCAGCTCTGACAGACCCTAGTCTCTCCCTTTCCACCTTGGCCATGTAGTCCAGGTCCTCACCTGGGAGACCCAGGTCTGATGTACCCTGGTTGCTCCCTTCCTCCACCTTTTTCCTTTAAACTGGCACAAGTTTGGTCCAACCTTTGATCTCATTCTGTACAACTACCTGGCCACGCAGTACAAGCTGGACAGAGGAGAACAGTGGCCACCACATGGGACTCTAAATCACCCCACCATCTTACAATTGGACCTCTTTTGCAAGAGGGAAGGAGAATGGGCTGAAATACTGTATGTACAGGCTTTCTTTTATTTGTGGGAAAATCCTCAGTGGTGTAGGGTGTGTACAGAGCCAAGTAAGATTATGGTGTTGAGAGAGCCTCCTCAGGTTTCCACCTGTTCTGAGCTGCCCCCATAGTCAGGGAGGCCTGAAGGGGGCCCTACAAAGGGAAGGTGGTGCAGTCTCTACCTCTACTAGAAGGAAGTACGATTCCACTCCTGCCCTTGGTGGAAACAGCAGGAGAATTTGGACCAACCCTAGTCCATAAGCCCTTTAGTTTAATAGAGTTAAAACAAATAAAACAGGATCTGGGAGCTACACTGATCACCCTGGTAAGTATGTGGAAACATTCCAGCATTTGTGTCTAGCCTATGACTTGGCTTGGAAAGATGTCCATATTATTATTCTAAGCCAGACTTTAAATAATTTTGAGAAATCCAGAGTGTTAATGAAGGCAGAAACATTTGCCACTGGATTACACCTTGTAGATCCTAGATATCCAGTGGGTGAAATAGCAGTGCTCGTGATTGACCCAGGGTGGACTAATAGTTCATCAGAAGAGAAATGAGAGAGAGAGAACATTTCCTAGTATGTGTCCTGGCTGGCCTCCAAATCACCATGCAAAAGGCGGTCAACTAGTTATTCCAAAGTCACTGCCATAGCCCAGGGGCCTGAGGAAAACCCTATAGCCTTCCTATATCAGCTCCAGGAAGCAATAGAGAAACACACCAGTCTCAATCTTAACTCCTATGAGGGGCGGATGATATTAAAAGACAAATTCTTGGCCCAAGCAGCACCAGATATTAGGGGAAAACTCCAGAAGCTTGTCCAGGACCCTACCACCTCTTTGGATGACCTGGTGGCTGCTGCTAATTCTGTTTTCTATTACAGTTCTATAACAGAACTCCTGAGCTTGAGTTTCAGGCTTGAGAGAAAGAGCAGAGGAAGGAGACTAGTTAATGGCAACGGGCAAAGCGCCCTCAAAAGGAAGGGATCTCCAGTGCCACATCTGAGGACAGGAAAAGCATTGGCACAAGAACTGTCCCAATAAGGACAGGCCACCCAAGGCCCTTTATCAGTGCCATCAAACAAGTCACTGGACTGAACCCTGTCCTGTGGGATTATCCCAGGAGGAGAGTCAGTCCTCAGATGGGATCATGGCATGACAATAAAGCAGCCCGCTCCCTGGCAGATAACGATTACTGAGCTAGAGCCAAGGGTAACCCTCCTGGTGGCAGGTAGGCCAGTTAATTTCCTTCAGGGGGATGATGGGGCTGTCTACTCTGTCCTCCTCACCTACTCTGGAAAACTGAGCACTCAATCCTGTATGGTCACTGGACTCTCTGGGGTCCCTACCAGACAATTCTTTACTCTCCCTTTACTTTGCTGGAAGGATGTGATCATTGAACATTTGTTCTGGTAATTGCCACATGTTCTGTCAACCTGCTAGGACATGACTGACTTTCTAAACTGAGAGCAGGGATTTTTTTCTATCCTCAAGAGGAATCCAGCCTCATAGGCCTCTTAACAGAATCAGAGGTCTTGGGCCAAGATAAATAGGACTGGGAGGCAAATATCCCTGTGATAGTTTAGGACATTTGTTCCCCAGGCTGTGCAAGAACCGCCCAGCTGGTTATGGTCCATTTCAAACTGCAGCAGGGATATCCCTATGTTAAACAAAATCTCTTGTGGCCTGAGGCTTGTGCAGGTATCAAACCACTTATAAGAAAGTTCCTACTTTTGGGGCTACTTATCGCAACTTGCTCTTCTTCTAACACCCCTATTTTACCTGTCCAGAAAAAGGATGGCATGTACTGATTGGCGCAAGACTTTAGGACAATAAATGAGGCAGTGGTGCCTCTACATCCTGTGGTGCCCAATCCTTATACATTACTGGGCAACATTTCCCCTGAGACCACATATTGCAGTGTATTGGACCTAAAGGATGCTTTCTTTTGCATTCCTCTCCACCTTCACTGCCAAAATTTATTAGTGTTTATAGACACTTTCACACATTGGGTTGAAGCTTTTCCTTGCAGGGCTGAAAAGGTCCCTGAAGTTTTCTGAAGACTTCTGGAGGACATCATACCTCATTTTAGCCTCCCCCAGTCCTTACAGAGCAACAACAATCCTGCCTTTGCTTCACAAGAAATGGCTGGACACCACAGACCCTTCAGGTAGCTCAGTTCTTGCAGACATTACATGATCACAAGCTACTGCCCAGAGACCCTTCTTCCCCTCCTCCTGTTTGTCAGCTGGGGAATTTAGTGCTCATCAAACAGTGGAAGGATGGGTCCCCCACATCCCACCTAACCCTAGTGTGGAAAGGTACTTATCCAGTCTTACTTTCTACCCCAACTGGTATTAAGGTTCCATAGATACCCACTTGAATCCATCATTCTTGGGTAAAGCTGTAGAAGGACCAAAATGAAACTCATCTGGCTCCCGAGGGTTGAGGATTCCGACACCAGAGGCAAATAGTTTGTACTCCCCAGGAGGATTTCCAGAATCTTTTTAAGCAAACTCCTCCTGCTGTGGCTCCTTCAGATAAGTAGCACAAATTGTTTATCCATGGGCAAGACGCCTTTTGCCCTGGCAAACCAAACTGCCTCTTTTTGTCTTTATACAGCCACTGCTGGTGTAGCCACGGGGCCCGTAGCAGTGTTTGGCTGTTGAGGCAGCATGAGCCCTGCTGAAAAGTAGCCATACACTCACCCTTTTACTGTAACAGTTAGATTCTCTTACAAAATAGGTGGGCCCTCCATCTTCTAACTGCAGCAGAAGGGGCTCCTGCTTCTTAAAAAACAGTGCTACTTCTCTGTTAGCTAGTCAGGATCGGTTCAGGACAACAACCATACGATCCTAGAGTCCACCTCCAATATCCAGACATAAGACAATGTCTCTAGGTCCAGGTGAATGTCCTTAATAATTCCCTTGGTCACCCTGTTACTTTGCATCCTGGGAATTCTTATATTGGGACTGATCTTCATAAATTTTCTAACTAAATTTATTTCATCCTGTGTAAAAGCCATCGAGTGACAAATAGTCCTACATTCCCTGCCAGTCTTGGCTCCTACCTTGACACCTACAACTACAGCAATGTAATGTACCAAGAACATATACCAAAGTTCCCTGGAGAGACCCCTGAGAACCTACAAGAGGCCATGCTAATAGGAAATCCTCACCCCTTAGCATGAAGCAGCCAGATGAGTTGGTGTCCCTACCCAATGATTTGGGCCTCTAAAATAGAGAGTGGGAATGTTAGGTAGATAGTGAGGGATTTGGGGTCTCCTAGGGATGAAAGTGGGTGCTATTGCCCCCATCTTGTTCCTGCCAAACCCTAATTCTCTATACCTGGAGGAGGAGGGAATACTCTACGAAGCTGCCAATCAGAACTTGGCACACCTGCTGCAGAAGAATGCAGAGGACTCGAGCCCATGGGCCAAGCCTCGTGGTTACCATAAAGTCCAGAAAGTGACCTAGAACCCACATGCATAGTTAAGGCTCAGGTCATGTGACTCCCAACTGTCTAATCAAAGTAGATCCATGGTTACTTCTGAACCACAAGGGAGGTCCCTATCCAGAGGCTATAAAAAGACACAGACCATAGCCAAGCTCTCTTTCTGCCCTTCCTTTTGCCTGCCCTGCTGTGACGATGGGTCCAGTGGTCATCTGTGGCATATGTATCATGCTCTGTAAACCTATATATTACTCTTACCCTATAATGCTGTATTTCTCTCCTCAGTAAACTTCATTTCCATGCTTGCCTAACTTTGGCCTGTCTAGTCATTCTTAGGCCCTGAGAACACCAAGAACCAATGGTTTCAGACTGAAACCTAACATAATAATAATGATTGAGTATAATTTTGTACTATAGGTCTACTAATGCAAAGAATGAAATTTCATTTTGGGGGAAGTTAGAATTTATTTTCATTTGGTGGGGTTTAAATACCTCAACACCAGTGAATGGCTTTCCTTGCTTAGCTAACAAATGAGCCACTCCGAATCTTATTTTCACTACAGTTTCATTTTTAATTATTTTTGTGAATAAAATCTGCCATGATGAAATATTTTGTTTTACATTTTCTACTTTTTCTGATCATTGTTTTCTTGTCAAGTGGGGATATTGTGCTGAGTGTTTAGTCTAGTTTTTCTGATTTGTATTGTACTCTTTTGTCATAGCTATAGTGTCATTGTATAATTAACACAATGCTTTGCTACATAATTCAATAACAAAATAATTTACACTCCATCATGCCTTAAAAGTGTGTCATTCAAAGTTTGCTTTTCTCCTCTTAGTGTTTTGCCATGGTAGGTAGGCAGGATAATTAAAAAATAATATGGTACTCATAATAATGTGGTACTGTTATAACTGGATTACTGGTGGTGTTGACACCACAAGGGAGTTTCAGTCTAGGTCCAGTTGCTCATCACACAAAGATGCAATTAATGAGACAACAAGGATTGCCAAAGTGATCCAATTATTAAGACAATGAGGATTGCCAAGGAAGAAAGGAATTTTTAATATGACAGATATCCTGTAAGGAGAATAGGAGAAGCTGCCTCAAATCCATCTTTTCTGACTGAGAGAGATCATGGGCTTTTAAAGGATGGGCCACATGTCTTGGGGCAGGCCATGCTGTAATTTATAAGGGACTACAGTGCATTGGGGGCAGGTAGTGGGGTATGGGGAATCTTGTCAGGAAGTCCGCCTAGGATTCTTCAGAATCTCAGCTCCTTTGTCTTGCAGAAAATCAACCATTTCTGGGAAACATCTCAAAAGGTCATGTAGTTACTTTAGGGAAAGGATTATATAGGGGCCATTGACATCTGTTCAATGTGGGGCTGGTGACACTGTGATTTATAATACTCAAAGTGATGAGAGCATGATATATGGTCTCTATCTCCATCACTTAACTGTGTCACTGTAGCAAGAATGCAGCAATAGACAATCTGTAAACAAGCGGGTATTTATGTGTTCTGTTAATATGTGTCACAAAATATTAGTCTTCTTTTTTTATTTTTTAACCATTTTTATTTAAAAGTATAAAAACTGTTCTTAGCTTACAGAGCATGCAAAACCAGGCACCAGTATAGATTTGGCTCAAGATGGTGGTTTGAAGGCCCATAGAGTAGAAAGACGAAGACCAGTTATCAGGTTATTTCAGTACTTCAACCAAGGAATGGTGTAGTTTAGTGTAGGAATGTGAGGGAGATAGAGAAAAGGATAATCTTGAGATTATTAACCAGTAAATTGAATATGGAGATGAATTAAACATAACACAAGAGAAGAAGGACTCTGAGGTTTCTGATTTGCATAACTGGAAAGGAGCTCCTCAAGGAAGATAGGAAAACCTAGAAATAGTTTTTCTTTTTTTTTTAAAGAGAAAAATCAGGAGTTTTTTGAACAGGTCTTGTTTGATATGCCTTTGTTATATCAAAGGAGAGGTTTAAGTAAACAATTGAGTTTGGAGGGCTTCCTTAGGGCTATTAATGTTTTGTAATTGAAACCATGAACTTGGATGAGATTACTAAGTCAGAGAGTAGTAGAGAATTAGAAGGAAGGAGGGCAGAGGGCCAACCTTGAGTAACTCCTACACTTGATGTGGGGAAGGGACTCAGCCTGCCATGGAGAGAAAGAATGAGCTGCTAAAGTGGTAGTAGAAATAGAATTATGCTGTGAATGGCAAAGGAAGAGAGTGTTTCAAGAGAGCACCAATGGTAATACACTTGAAATCTATAGTCAAGTAAAATGAGAAATCAAAAGGTTCATTGCATTTAGTTAGAAATATGGGGAAAAGGATAATAAATCTGATAACTATTTTATGTATCTTATAGTGGTAGAAGTCAGAATATAGCAGATTGATTAGCAAGATAGTTAAAATATATACATTTTTTTTTTTAGAAATTTGCATGTAAAATTGGAGTGAAGATAGTGGCAGAATTATATGGTATTACCAGAGTTTTGTCTAATATATTTCTTTTTAAAGGGAGACATGAATAATTTGAAAGAATTTTCTTTCTCATTGCAACTAAAATATAGTAGTCTAAAAACATGCTTTAATATCCCTTTATTTGAAAAAGTCAAGAACATAAACTATCAACTTCTTTTGAAAATATAAAAGAAATGAAAATTTGCTATTTTGAAGTTTGGACCACATAAACCAAAAATCAAGTATTCATTTCATTAAATGACCCATATTAAGTATATTTTAAGTTGATTATAAAAATAACCTAGGATTTTTATACATGCATCTGTATCATATTGTGCTCAAATATCACATTCATTTCCTTAAATGTTATAGAAGCAACATTGATTATACTCAGAAATGTAATGTTTACTCCATTATGTTGATACCAAATAATTATTTTTCTAATTTTCACTATTAAAAGCAGTTATTTTTTCAAAGCACACACATACACATACACATCTACTTTAACTAATGGTACTGCCTATGGGTATGAATAAGTAACTGAAATTCCTTCAAGTTACGTTTTCCTATTCTCTTGGTCAAGGAATGAGACTCCAGGTCAACTCATCATGTCTCCTGAGCTCTCAGCCTTTTTCTGTGTCTCAAACCCCTAGGATCACTCAGGGCCCTTGAGTCTTATAACTACCTACTTCCTGTCTTTCCATTTCTAGTGCTGACTTTGTCCAGTCTATGGAGAGGTAAAAGGTGTGCACTCAGGGATGATAGAGTATGGATGGAGCAAGAGGAGACTGTAGATTATTGAGACTGTAGATTGTTGGTTAAGATTTGGAAAGCTGTAATAAGGATTTTGCCTGATTTAAGAACTTAATGGCTATTCAGGAAATTTGCCAACTTTGATTTTCACAGACAGTTTTTCCAGAGGTACTCTGAAGTTTTAGAGTGATTCCTATAGATGTTTAATGCTCTTGTTCTGCCAAGAGAAGGAGGACGAGTGAGTCAAAGCTGAAGAGAAGTTAAGTAAGATGGACACTGAGTATCCATTGGGTCTGGAAGCACGGAGGCCTTTGATGACTTTTGGGAAATAGTTTCTGTTGCTAGAGGCAGAACATCTAGTAGTGTGGACTAAAGTCTGAACAGGAGGTGAAGAAATACATTTAATACAAACTCTGGCCATGAAGGGTAGGAGAGAGACAGGGCTATAGTTAAGGTGGGCTTGAGGCCAAGTCCTTTTTCTTAAATGGAAGAGACTTGAGCATGCTTAAATGCTAATGGAAAGAAGCCAGGAGTGAAGGAATGATTGAAGATGGGAGGTAAAATCAGAGATAAGCCTTGATAAAGTACAAGGTGAGGTACCTCCAAATGAACAGGGATTATCCTTAGTGACAAGACATTCTCTCCTTTATAGTAAAGAAGTTACAAATATAAGTGAGTGTGTAGATCTTATGGGAAAAAGGTGAGCTATCACTAGTCTAATGGTTTCTATTTACTCTGTGCAGTAAGATGAGAGATCCTGTATGAAGAATGAAATAGAAGGGACAGAGTAAGAGATTTAGGACAAAAAGTCAAGGTTTGAAACAATTGTAGAAAGATGATGAGTAGTAGAATAGAGATTTGCTTAAGAGCATTGAGCGTCGAATACAGTTATTCCTCTAATAATTTTCTTTGTAATCCATAGCTCAGGCTGATACTTACAAAGTGTTAAAAAATCTGACATTTATCCAAATATTGGAAAATGTTTTAAAAATTTAAACTCAGTTTCTGATTATTTCAGTAAAAAACAAGTTCCAGAGGTCTGTATACATGTAGTACACATTTTACTTCATTCATTATTGTTTGAAATTATTTTAAAACTAATTTTGTTTTTATTATTTATTCATTTTTAAGAAAAATATAAATTTGAGGATATAAAACTTGTTTTTATTTGTTTACATATCTTACCCACAATAGTAAGGATGCATGGTACTTTTAACAAAATAGAATTTTCTGTTTTTTTAATACTTTGAGTAGACTTACTCTTTTTGGCAGTAATTTTACATCCTTCTTAGGTCTATTGTTAACTTTCTCTTTTGCTTTTATCTTTCATTTTTCTGGGTCATTACTTGCTTCACACAAAGCCTCATGGTGAGATGGAAACTTGAGACAGGATTTGCTGGGATTTGTTGAACTTCTTTCTTTCTTTTAATTTACTTAAATTTATTATGAAGTTTGGTCATGGTCTGTCTTCAAGTTTTATTGTGGGCATGGCTTTTGTGTAATTTTATTTCTTGTTTTTTTCCCTATTGTTTTTGGAGAAAATATTGAAAGACCTGGTTCTAGGTACCCACCATTATCCTTAGCTACCTAAAAACCTTCTGGTAACTCACTTTAATGTTAATACATTAGAAAAAATTAAATTTAGTTGGGTGACTTATTAAAATTAAAATTAAAATTTATTATAACATATGCGTTTGATCCACAAATTTCTATGTGTAATAAATAGAAAAATTTTAAATGTCTTATTACTCAACTTGAGTTAAACTCTATTTCAAATTCATATTCTAATAGGCTGTAATGAAGCACACACACATGCAAATACACAAACAATAACCAGAAATCAATAAAACAATTAATTTTACTTAAATCTTTCCTGAGATCATTCTTGTTATAGTGTAGATTGGGTGTTTTTATTCATGGCCAAGGTTGTGGGGAGGTGTTAGAAGGTGTGTGAAAGTTGGACATTGATCAGTTGTCCACATGTGCTTTTGTAAGAAACAGATCCTCCTCTATGACTGGATTAAGTGTAGAAATTGGAGTATAGAAATATTTTGTGAAGCTACCCTGTTGGCTTCCCATAGGACAGTGTGTCAGCATATATGTTATGCTCTTTCTCTTTAAAGTATAGTTGCCAAAGACTGTGCCAAGAAGTAAGGAAAAGGCACTCTGTAGGGGCAGGAAGGATGACAAGAAGCCAAAGGGAAAAATGCAAAAGTGAAAAAAATATAGATTGCTGTCTTAAAATATTATCCCAGCCTCACAGTCCAATCTGAAATTAATATTGTTCTGTTTTTATTTATAAAGAGATAATGCCTAGTACACTTTATTTTTTGAACAACAAAAATGTTTGTTTTTGTTCACAGCTACTTTAGAAATTGGTGAGGACTATCCATTATTTCAGTCCATTTATAGAGTGAATGCAACAGATGAGGACTTTGCAAATGGTGATAGGCTGACGGTAGGTGCTGATCATTGTGTGAGATACGTATATTACTTCAGCATACGGTGTAATGCTTCAGGAAATTTTTCAAGCATAGTTAACATAATTTGATAATTAAAGATAGCAGAATGAAATTGACAATTACTATAATGCAATGCTTGTGTGAATGTTGGATATAACATTTTTAGAAAAATAAATATTCTAGAAGTGTCTAGGAAAATTCTACAATGACTTCTAATTGAGGTAGGGGGCTGAGACAAAGACATCAATGCTAAGGCAAAACTTGGGCTTTGACTTTTAGGTGCTAATTATAACTTTTTCACTTTTCTAGCTATTTCAATAACACATGTGAATGTGATTACATATATTTTTTATGTTTTGGTATCCTAATTATTAAGTATCTAATCCTAAGAGACTTGCCTTTCCTATAATTGATTCATCGTTGTAAAGTCTCTTAGAGATTTGGCAAAATAAAATGAACCTATAAAGCTCTATCTGGAGAGTTTAGTGATGCATTGGACTACAAACGTCAGCATGCTTGTTCTGCAGATGTTCTTTTTAAACATGTATTGAAGTAGTTTACTACTTCTAATTTAGTAACTCACAGCATAAAATAATGAAGAAAAACTGGCAGTGGGGTGTCAGATTATGGGCTAAGTTATAACTTTACCACTAACTTGTGCTCTGATGCTGGGGGAGTCACTTAATATTTTTTCCCCTTGATTTCCACAATTATGCGAAGAGATGTTTTTTCTTTCTTTAACCTTCAGTGATATATGTGCTGATGTCAGTCAAAGTATTTGAAATCCCTGTGGAATGCTTTACAAATGTTTTTTTGTAGCCCAGCCAATAGGAACTTGTTAAGAAACACAAGACTCTTCTTATTAGAGGATGTTTGTTTTTTTTTAATTTTAAAAATACCAAAACAAACAAACAAAAAAACTCCAATACGGTACAGCTGGAAATTGTTATTACCAGTTCTGTCATTTGCAGGAACATGATAAGAACCAAGCAGGTGATTGTTTTAAAATTTAATGTTTTGAGAAGTAGTTATATTGTTAGAAGCTAGAATGTACATCAGATTAAAAACAAATACACAGAAGTTGTTGAATTATTCTTTAATGAAGTTTGACCATTTTGAACTAGATTTTCTTTAGATACTTTTGAGAATAGATTTATCTACTTTCACCTCTTCTCAGGGGTGGTGGCAAATAAATAAAAAGCGAAGAACATAAGACAATTACAAACTGCACATTCAAGGGCATTGATAATTTGAATTTGGTTTATACTCATTATAATTCTTGTCTTATTCTTAAAATTGAAAGTTAAAAACAGTAAGTTTTTGTATATTCTTTTAGAGTTGTAGTGATTTGCAGAATCAGATTAAATATCTTTTGAAAATTCTCTTAGAAAATTGTTGCACAGCTCTATTGAAAAATAGCCAATCTTTTGATTGTGTTAAGAGGTTAAAGAACTGTGTGGATTTTCTTCTATTCTGAATCAGAGTATGCCAGTGGTTCTAGTTCTAGCTAGTACAAAAGAAAAACTGCAATTTATCAGTGTGAAAGTAAGGAACTTTCTACATATTTGCTCCGTTATTGTACCCTTATGATCTTCCATGTCTTCTCATTTATTTTGGTGTGAGTAATGTATGTTTTATTTTTCTAGTACACCATTGAGACACAGTTATCTGGACCTAAGAAAGGAGCAAACTCTTTTGGAGTGGATCCTATAAGTGGTGTTGTTAGCTTGAGAGGTGAAGATTCCTTGGACTTTGATGCTGGATATCATGTAATTAATATATTTATCTATTTGTCTATATAGAGTGAAAGGGAGCTTTTATAATTTTGAACTCTTCATAGAAAATTAAACACATTGTTATTTTAAAGGAAGAGTAATATTTTGTATGACTCATTTGTAAGGATTTGTGCAGTTAACCAAAAGTCTAGATCCAATCTTTATGGTTACTCAAAGCATAGGGTCATGTCTCAACTTTTTAGATCTACCTAAAGAAGTTTAAGGGGATAAAAGATTTAAGTCTTTTTAATCTGAGAGAACCAAATTGGTAAAGCATTAAAATTTAAATCTTTCTCACCATCAAAGAAATGGAAGAAATTTAAAACAGTCACGTTTTCATATTAAAACTATTTGACCATTCATACCTTATCCCACTCAGAATGTTACAATACTAAGAGAGCCAAAGTCAGATAAAACCTTATAGATGAATTTGAAACTAACATGATAAGCAAAGAAGAACAATTTCTAATATTTCCATGAAAAACATAATTTAAGGAAGGCATTTTGGGGATGATTTTTCTGAGTGGAAAATGAAGAATATGTAAGTAAGAACACCCGACTAGAAAGAAATCAGCTAAATGGCCATTGAGATAATCTGTCTACAGATAAACAAGGTATGAATTTTTGGAAACAAAGGATAAGTTATTATCATCATGATGATTTTTATTGTTATTGTAAAAACATTTCTATTTTCAGAAATGTCTCCATATGTATTATTCAATAAGGTGGTTGAGAAAACAGGGACAATGGGGAAAATGCAAGAGATTATAGTAAAAAAGAGACTTTGCTGCTGATTAGACATTTAGGGGAGAGAGTTAATTGTTGAAGAATATCTTAATTTTCTAGCCTCAAAGAAATAAATGGTGGAAGAAAGCCAATGAATATTATTTAAATTTCAGTTGGATACATTGCATGTTAGAGGATGGGGAAAAGGCCAATGATACATATCTTTTAAGCAATTTGAGTGTTAGAACCACAATGGGAGTTTACAGTCAGGTGGAAAAGAAATGGGGGTTATGTGCATGAGCCCTGTAGGCAAGCAGTTCAACTATATGCCTGTGACCTTCTTTGCCTCCCTTCACCTGCTGCCTTGACTCGCTCATTGGACCAAACTTCTATTAAGTCCTTTAAGGTCGCCTTCTTCATCTTTCCACCATATAAATTATCAGTTCATTTCAGAACACTTGACATATTGTTATCTACCCAAGAAACTAAAGTTTAGTGCGATCATTGTCAGCCCTTCACTCAGTGTGGAATCTTGTACATTGTAGGGGTTTATTGAATGTTTGCTTTAGTGGTGCTTTGTATTTGTTTTCAAAAAGCTACTTGCTGATATGAATACATGGTATCTAAGTGGTACGATGTGTGACAGGCTGATGAGAAAAATATTCGAGGTCTAATGAATGACATTCTTAACTCTTCAGAAATTACATCATGTCCTTTATCCCAAGGAGTAGCACATGCTCCTAATTCTAGGGATTAGCATCAAACAGCCTGCATTGTCAATAGTCTCAGCCCATTGTGTTTTGGTTCACGATTGAATCTAGAATTTGTTCATTTTTTAAATTCAACTTCATTGATAATTAGGCATATAGCCAAGCTACACAGACCTTTGAGTGAAATTTAATGACATATAAAATGAAGCTACTTTAAAATTTACAACTAATCTAGCTAAGTAAGAAAGCAGTTATATTTCCTTTAACTAACTAGAGGAAAAATAAGAGCTACATTTAATTGGAGAAAATAAAACAAAGCAAAAGACCTAACAGGAGACACATTGTGAATGCATATATGTGTTACCAAATAGTATATTATAAAGTTTTTAAAAACTCTTTTTCAGGTTTTCCAGCTTGCACTGAGAGCAACAGATACTACAGGTCTGTTCTGTCAAGGGACATTAATTATCATGATTAGAGACCTAAATGATGAGATGCCTCAATTTGAGTAAGCATATTTATTTCAAAGTGTTTCCATAAGAGAATGGTTAAAGTATGCTTGCCACATATACAGAAGTCCCTTGGTATCTGTGGGAGATTGGTGCCAGAACCCCTGCTGATAACAAATCCCTGATATAAAATGGTGTAGTATCTGCATACCACCTACGCACATCCTATTGTGTACTTTAAATCATCTCTGGATTACTGATAACACCTATTACAATGTAAATGCTATATAAATAGTTGAAATACTATATTTTAGGGAAATAATGACAAGAAAAAAAGTCTGTTGATGTTCAGTATAGGCATAACCATTGATATTTTTCCAAATATTTTTGACCCATGGTTGGTTGAATTGACAGATACAGAACCCATGCACATGCCAATTGTATTATAAATAATGATAATAAAGATTATGTGGCTACAGAGAAAATATTTCATGATGTTATTTTTAAAAATATATATGTATATATGCATTATGATCATTAATGCATGCTGATTGAAAGTAAAATATGTATTAGAAAATACTGGGAAGCAAATTTAGAAGTGGCTAACATTGTAATGTGTTGAAAAGATTTTGGTGTATCTATTTTTTTTCTTTTGTTTTCTTTTCTGAAGGTGTTGCAAATCACTGCATTGATTGTTACTATCTAAATTAACTTTGAATAAAGAGAAAAGTAGATCTTAAAAAGTAGTTTAAAATATTTAATTTAAACGTTCATTTTCATACTCTAGAGGTATAATTGTAGCATTCCAGAATGTTTGTAGATTATGAATCCAAATGCATGTTAGATGTTTTTCTATACTTTAAAACGTAATAATCAAATATATTACTACAACCCAAGAGGAATCAAATACTTCTTAGAGTTAGACTGAGACTGATGCAGACTTAGACTGTTGCAAAGAACAAGAAAAAATGGTAGTGTTCAAGTTACTTTCCTTATTTTACTAAGTTATATGTTTACAGATGACTAAGGACAGTAATTCATTGTTTAAATTCCCAAATTCACTTTATTATATTATTTGAACAATTGAAGCAAATTTGGAGCTTAGTTTATCCCTTATTTGTGGGGATAGTTGCACTACTTATCCACTGGTGTTTGCAGCAGAGGTGCCATCAACTCTTTGGAACAATTTCCTGTTACCTTCATGTCTTCAATAAGTATGAACTTATTGCTTTTACTTGTTTGGTAGAATTTAATGCTAGATATTATAAGCAATATAAAAATTACCAAAATATTGCCCCCAAATGCTTTTTAAAAAATCTCTCAAGAGACATAGCTTGTTAAATGACAACTAATGAAACGGAAAATGATTTAAAGTGGTCCAGAATGTAAATGTTATAGTTACATTATATTATGGTATAAAGGAAAAACCATACTGTAAAGGTGAAAACACTAGAATGATAAAGAAGGTTGCTCACAGGAATGATATCACCCACTCACCTTTCATTTCCTTTGACTTGGCATTCCTATGAAGTCTTTCTTGAACTTCTCTCGCATGCCCCAAATTAGGCATCCCTCTTCTTTAAATTTGTAGCAAAGTTACAGCATCTATTACATAGTTTATAGTTATTTATACCTGTGTTGCCCATTAGCAGTGAGATCCCTAAGAGCAGGAGCTAAAGCATAGTCAACATGTGCATAAACTGTGTGACATATTGTAGGTTATCAATAGTGACCTGATGCCTGAATAGAAGGCTGAAGAAGAAATAAATTTAACTTTCAGAAATGTCCTGGAAATCGATCAGGGAATTAAAGTATGACTTAAAGAAGTGAGCAATAAATTTATAAGAACTGTCTTGACGGTTTAACATGATATGACTTCGAACAACATTTCATCAAATCAAGTAACAAGATGCAAATGAATATTATTTAGTCCCTTATATTCAGTTGCCAGCTATTCCATCCTTTGGATATCTACAATAGTAGAGATGCACTATTTCATTCTGTGTTTCATTTTTTTAATCTCTTTTATGTCATGATGTCTTTGCTGTCTGGCATGGTGCCAGAGACTACATGATTAAAAATTAATGTTTATGCAAAAAATTAAGTAACTTTGTGCTATCAGTGGATTTCCTCAATGTTTGAATAGTTTTGGAACTCTTAAATTTTTGACAAGGAAGGTGGTATCCTCACAAATATATAAGATTCTTTGCAGGCCATCGTAACCTGGCCATATGTGGATAATTATTTACAAATTTGCATCTTCAGAATTTTTTCATCGCTATTTTTTAGGCCATTTCCTTTGGATTCTATTAATGTGACTGAAAAGAAACCTGTTGGAGAAATTATAGCAAGAGTAAAAGCAACAGATCGGGATAAAGATAGCAGCATCACTTACTCCTTTAAAACTCAGCAGGAAATGTTTGGTTTGGACCCATGTAAGTTTTAAATAAGTACTTCTAGCCTACTTTGGTTACAACATTCACTATCTAATCTGTGCACTCCCTCTAGAATTTAGGATAGTAAAACTACCCTTTCAAAATTAAATTAAATATGAAGAATGAAACACAACAAAAACATGTGGTATTTGATAGTTGCTATTTTCCAATTTGTTAAAATGATGTTCTTGTGAAATAATAAGTGATATATTGGCTTGCTTTTATAACTTGCCATTTTTTTCAGAGACACTCAATACAAATGCTTCTGTGAAATCCTTGTAAATTTTAGGGCAAAAAGTCACATCTACTTCCTCAATTTCATTTGTGAGAATTGGGACTTTTCTTGAATAACTTGATTTTGGATATTTGATTATGGATAGATTTCTGCCTGAGTAAACAGGATCTAAAATATGTTTCTTCCTGGCTGACACAGCACCTGATTTTATCCATCAGGGTCCAACCAGAGAGACAGAACCACTGGAAGTACGCTGTGGAAGGTAGTTAAGTAGTCTTTGCAAGGCTGTTCACTCCGTGTCTGACGCTGGAGCTTGAATCCACAAGGCAGGAAGTGAGGAAGAGAAGATGGATATAAAGTGGGGGGATTAGGGGAGACTGGAACACACAAGCATATGCTGAACTCTGTAAGGACGGACTGAAACTAACATTAGTTCTTATCACCTCTGACGGTGGTGGTGTGGGTGTTCTGTACAAGCTGAGGCCTTCGATTACAGGGCTAAGTAGACACACCGGTTCTAGGAGTCAGGGAAGCTGAAAGAAGATTCAGAGGTGGGTAAAGCAGTTGCAAGTTCAGCTGCAGTGAGTTCATACCAACAGTGTTACAGCAGACCAGCAAAAACATATATAATAAACAAAATGGCTGCTGCTACATTTCCACCTCCAAGTTGGCCAGGAATCTCCCTCTGGCTCACTAAAAGCAGAAACACACAAGAACTAGAATATTTCCAACCTGGGAAGTGCAGGTTAGCTTAGCAAAGTTGGGACGTTAGAGAGCCACCATACTGGTTATCCAATATTTGAGATTATTTATTTAAATCCTGAAAGTTGTTGGCAACTTATGCATCCATCTTTAAAACATAAATATCAGTGGAAGCACATTGATAATAAACAACAATTTACTAACTAAGGACAATTTGGAAGAGATTAAGGGATTGTGAAAGTTATGAAGACATCAAGGTAGGGCGAGAGCAGATGATTCTAGAACAAGAAAGGAGAACTTCTGGAAGGGAAAGTAGGTGGTGAGGAGTTCCACCCCACCATGAACAGCCATTTCTAGTTTTGCAGATTTTCCTAAATTTGACCTTGAGTTCATTTTACATCTGTGTATGCAATAAGATTGAGGTAAATTGGAAAGAAGAAACAAAATGAATGCTTAGGGTTTTAATACAGTTCAGTTAATTTTTCAGGCTTAAAAACATTAATAACCTTTCATTGTGGCAATTAAAATGAAATATAATGGTTTGTGTTTGGTGTTTATTAAGTACAGATGCTACCTATGTTTGGTAAATCAATAAATAAAAATTTAGAGACAAGAAAATATGATGAAAGCATATTTATTTATTTATTTATTTTATTTTATTTTTTTTGAGACAGAGTCTCACTTTTGTTGCCCAGGCTAGAGTGAGTGCCGTGGCGTCAGCCTAGCTCACAGCAACCTCAAACTCCTGGGCTCAAGCGATCCTCCTGCCTCAGCCTCCCAAGTAGCTGGGACTACAGGCATGTGCCACCATGCCCGGCTAATTTTTTGTATATATATTTTTAGTTGGTCAATTAATTTCTTTCTATTTTTAGTAGAGATGGGGTCTCGCTCAGGATGGTTTCGAACTCCCAACCTCGAGCAATCCGCCCGCCTCGGCCTCCCAGAGTGCTAGGATTACAGGCGTGAGCCACCACGCCCGGCCCCGCATTTTTAAAAATCACTTTCCTCATGCTTGAAAAAAAATGTATCATTAAGTGAATTAAAACATCATTAATATAAATAAATTAACACAAGCTCAATTATTTGAGTTTGGCAATTTTTCTTCATTTTATTTCTTTTCATTAGTCACAGGTATAATCACTCTTCTTCAGCCTTTGAATCTTGACAACCCAAATAACTCCCAAATCTACTCTTTGGAAATTGAGGCAAGAGATAATGGAAATAATACCAGCACCTACATGTTTATGGTTTTTGTGGAGAATGTAGATGATCCCATTTCCTGCGATTCAAGTTTTTCATCTGGAGCAGGTATATTACAGGTCAATTTTATTGATAAAATTCATGAAACTATGATAAGAATATTTAAAAATTAAACTTGAAATTAAAGTTCTGTTTTTGTTTTATAAATGAGAAGTAAATAAAAGAACTGAATAAAGTGAGAGACATAACATTCTCCTAGAAAGAAAATAAATAATTAGAGTTAATATAATTCAAATTCACATTATAATGCTTTCTCTGTGTGGTAGGTAGGCAATAGGAGGAATAACAAAATTATTCTAAGTGTATCTGTAACATATGAATTAATGTGTAGCCTTACAATTTATCAATACATGAACATCTAAATAAAAAATATAATTTTCACCCACTAAATTGTCCAAGGTATAAAAATAATAGAGAAAAAATGTAGCATTTGCTAAAGTTTAAGAAATTAACAGTCTCATAAAGTAGGGATTTTAGATCCTCACAGATAACTATGCAGAATACTGTTTTGTTTAACATCTACTTAAAAATGATTATAACCTTTATCCCAGTGTTTCTGTTTCTTAGGTTTCATCTTTATAAAAATATTGAAGATATGATCAAGATTTATGGACAAAATTTGTAATAGCATAATGTTTGATATAACCAAAATGATTAACAGTAGGAAATTGATGAAAAAATGGTATACCCATTGATAAATTATTACCTAACCTTTAAATATTATCTTCAAAAATAATAAGCATGAGATTATACATGATACAAACTCTAAAGTTTCCTTAATTTTATATATATAATGATGTGATATTAATAGATAATTATAAAAACATATACCATTTAATATATAATCATTATTCCTTTTAGTATGATTACAGTAAATTATTGTTTCCTGACATTTTAATAAACATATACTACTGTTAATTTTTAATTTCTCTTTAATTAAAAATTCTAGCTTTAGTTATAAAGTTTCAGCTTCTTGAATAAGAATCATCATTATTCCTAATAGTATGTAGTTAGTCTGTCTGCTATTCTTGCTCCCAAAGAATACTTACTTATAACAGGTTTTCATTTATAGTAATTATAATAAATTTAAACTAATATATAGAAGTAGCTTTCAGTATGATTAAAATAGATGTGTTCCTGAAAAGTTTGTTGTAAATTAAAATTCTGTAAATCAATTTTTTATTTTTTTAATTCACTCAGAAAGCATACATATTAGGTGGAACAAGCATATTTTTGTGTATAAAATAATGAAATATGCTCTTCCACTTTGTGCCATATGCATCACAACCTCGTATACCTCCCCCTAACCTCACCCTTATATGTGTGTTTGTGTTTTGCATGAAGATCTCATGAAAATACCATCTTTTTAAACATTTGAATGTACTTGAGTCCTTGCACACATGTTGGTCTCAGAAATAGATTGGCTTGATTTAATTTGGGTTGGGTCAACTGAGTCTCGACAACTGTATCTGCTCTGCTAGTTAGTCTTTCCAATCTTTTCTCTCCACTTCTTTCTAAACTTACTTGCTTACCTGTCATATTAATACTTTCTCTACTCCTACTTTCTCTGATAGCTTCTTTCTCTCCCTATTTCTATTAAGAGAAACTACCCAACGAACTGGGAGACAGTAAGAAGAAAATAAAGTTGAGGGGCCGGACGTGGTGGCTCATGCTTGTAATCCTAGCACTCTGGGAGGCAGAGGGAAGGATAGCTTGAGATCAGGAGTCTGAGACCAGCCTGAGCAAGAGCGAGACCCTTGTGTCCACTGTAGAAAAAATTAGCTGGGTATGGTGGTGCACAGCTGTAGTCTCAGCCACTCTGGAGGCTGAGGCAGGAGGATCGCTTGAGCTCAGGAATTTGAGGTTGCTGTGAGCTAGGCTGATGCCACAGCACTCTAGCCTGGGCAACACAGTGAGACCCTGTGTCAAAAAAAAATAAAAATAAATAAAAATAAAGTTGAGGGCAAGTGGAACAAGGGAAATTTCATTAAAATAGCCTTTTTTGTTTGTTGTTCTTGGGCGCCTGTCCACTGCTGCTCTCTACCTATTTCTCACCACCAGCAAGATCTTTTCTCCATCTTTAGACACTACCTTTTGGGAAATTGAAGAGCTCCAACACACACATACACTTCTTACTTTGAATGAAAACATACCTTCTGGTATGCACAAGAATAAATTTGTCTGAAATAGGAATTTATGTTAAAGGGACCTATTCAAAGAAACTAAATTTAAGAAAGAAAAGCCTTCTAGGTAAGCCTTGGCAATGAACCAGCTCATAGGTTTGGTGTTCATGAAGACATTATCTTTTTGATCACTTTGAAACAATTTAACTGATGTTCTTTGTAATGTCCTTTCAGTCCCCCCAAATTATAATAGACTTTCAAAAGATAAACATGGATCTCAAGGAGGTCATTCTGACCTGATTTCTACCACAGACTTGGCTGAACCAGCATAAACTGTTAAGGCAGCATCAAGATCAGGATGTTTTTCTCTTCCATTATGTGGGCTGTGGGCCCTGGGGTACAGGAGTAGGGGGAAAAGTACCACTTTCTATTAAAAATAAGGCAACTCAGTGGATCTCTGTGACCCTCAAAAAAATAGCAAAAATGAGCTTGACATGGTTTTTAAGTTGCTGATTTGACACACGCATATTCAATTTGCTTACTTTGTGTGATTATCTAATTGCTGTAATTAACCAGAGCAAATCACTAAATTAGAGAATCTGCTTAAACACATTGTTTGGAACAATGGTTTAAGATGAACAAGTCCTATTCGCACAAAAATTTTTCCATAACATCCTTAGAAACAGTCAAATATGAGGCTTTTGCAGAATGACCTAGTCTAGATTATAATACAATATTCACTGGACTTGATATCCACGACTCAAGTGCACAGTAAGCAGCAAATCTCTTTTTTATAAAAGTGTATCATTTGTAGAATCATATAACAGGTGTAGAATCTGTCAGTGGTCTAAAGGTGTGTGCACTTGTGTCATTTGGTTTTGGGGTTACACAGAGTCACCACTGGTAACATTGGAAGGAAGAGGAGGAGCAGTGGTTGGAGAGAGGAAAGTAGCATTTGTTGAGCATTTGTGAGAGGTGGTGTGTATGATATTTTATTTAATCCTCAGAACTACCCTAAGTTTGAAAATGTACTATATCGCCGTTGTATGGACAAGAATACTCATGGGACAGGAATTCAAATGCATTTCTTCCTGACTTCGCATCCTGCACTTTATGTTTTGTACATTATTGTGATAGGAGACAAATAACGTCAATATTCTAACATAAAGAAATCAAAGTTGAAATCATATCTTAATAGCCGTTGTACTGTGTGCCAGACACCAAGCAATTATATTTTATTTCACACACTAGCCCAAAATTTAAATGTAGAAATATGAAACTGAGCTACGATGACTTTTTAAAATATTGATGTTAATGGGAATAAATATTTGGAGGGTTTTTTTCCCCTGATACATCGTGAAGAAAATTTTTTTAAGGAGGAATACTTACAGCGTGATAATTTATGGCACCGATATGAAACAAGAAATGGTAAAAGAATGTTTGAATTTAAATTATTTTTCATGATTTATATAATTGTATAGGTGTTTCAATATCTGTTCCTGAAAATGTTCCTGCATCTGCTTTTATATATATGATTCTTTCGAGAGATCCAGATCTAGGACAAGAAGTTGAAGTAAGTTTTTTCTCATCTGCATTTATTTTTTTCCAATTTTGATGGAAAAAAGAACCGAGAGTACTCAATTTTTAATGCGTAAAATAATATTTTATCAGGTTTTTAATTAAAGTATTCATTATATCTTATGGTAGTTACTGAAATGAGAGAGGGAATTTAAACCTTTGAATATATTATAGTAACAGAATAAAAATGATATGACTTAAAAATGAAAGCTATAGACCTAAAATGGTCTGAACACACTTGAAAAAATAGAACTTACATATATTAGCATTTAACTGATGACATTTGCATGCACAAATAGAATGTCCTTTCATTGTTCAATGCCTGTTATTCATCTCGATTGGGCATATTTTCTTTATTATACACACATTTTGAATAAGGGATAATTTAGATTTTCATATCATTAATATTTCTGGCTTTAGCAACAATTCATAAAGAATAGAGAATTAATAAGTGATAGATGACAAAATGGTTATAGTTAAGAGGGAGTAAAGAAGAAGAACTTTAAGATAATTCATCATTCTATATTTTCTCAGAAATTTTTATGGTATACATATGACCTATAATCTAATTATATTTGTGAGAAATAATTAGATTTCTTGATAATACAATATATTAAAAATCTTGGCCGGGCGCGGTGGCTCACGCCTGTAATCCTAGCTCTTGGGAGGCCGAGGCGGGCGGATTGCTCAAGGTCAGGAGTTCAAAACCAGCCTGAGCAAGAGCGAGACCCCGTCTCTACTATAAATAGAAAGAAATTAATTGGCCAACTGATATATATATAAAAAAAAAATTAGCCGGGCATGGTGGCGCATGCCTGTAGTCCCAGCTACTCGGGAGGCTGAGGCAGAAGGATCGCTCGAGCACAGGAGTTTGAGGTTGCTGTGAGCTAGGCTGACGCCACGGCACTCACTCTAGCCTGGACAACAAAGCGAGACTCTGTCTCAAAAAAAAAAAAAAAAAATCTTATTACTACACTTGAATATTCTGCCCTAAATTTAGTACCTCAGTCAAATTTTCCACACAATAGACTAAGAACAAAGAATTTTTTCTATTTTTTCATGTTTGCTATTAACAACTGGCTTATAAACATCACTAAAGTTTGGGGGAACAGCTTTCTGAAGAATTTAGCCGTGATTATAATGATACATTGATTAGAAAACTTAGTTACCTATTTTGCTCATGTGAATTTTAGACTGAGGAGAGAAGACAACAGAGGAAAAATGTAATTCCTGGTATACCAAGCTCAGCAGCTGTATTGGCATGAGTGTGTGAGTGTGGGATTAGGTCATGGAATGGGCCATGGAATGGCTAGGATGTGTGCATGTGTGTGGAGGCTGGGTGTCTACATAACTATCAATTATCATTATGTGTTTACATGTATATTCTCCATAACTAAAATTATTATAACATCTGGATTTTATTATAAAAGTCATTAGGATATAGAAACCTAAAACCATAATAATAAGGGGAGAAACGAAGAAAAGGAGATTTTCCTATAAGAGCATTAAGTGGATTTTAGTCTAACATAAGCCAACTTTGGTTGTTCACTTACAGACAAATAAAAGATGGTAAAATGCCCATCAAAATGGCTGTTATGTATTTTTGGAAATGCCATCGAATATCATGTTTCCCAGGTTTTATTATTTTTTTGAGCTAAAATGTGAATGTCCATTTTTATAATATAATAATTTCCTTATTAAAACCTGTTCAAAATCTTTAATATTCATCTTGAATCTGGGCCCAATTATAAGCATGCTTGATAACATTGGAGAGAGTTATGCTGATGCTTGTAAAAACAGTATCTTTGTCCAAAACAATATTTTATTTTTGCCATACAGAAAATCAATTCAGAGATGAGATCAAATGGTTTCTTGCAAATAATTCAGTGCATGGCCCCCTTTAGATACACTTCCTGAGTTTACAAGAGGGAATGACTTTTTTTATATTAGAAAAATCTGTAAATGCAACATTAGAAAGTAAACTAATTATGAAACTAATGACAGCTATCCACTGAAAATACTCTAATATTTAAGTATCAAAGACATTGGGAAAAGTACAACAAAAAATGTGAAAGAATGTTTAGGTTGTTTTTGAAGTCTGGATCTGAAAGTAAGTTTCAGATTATTTTATTTTATGGGCACTGCCTTCACAGAATTAATTTTGGTTCAAGTCCTGCCAAATAATTGCATTGAAACTGTCAGTTCAGAATTCATGCTTATTCAATAATGTATTAACCATGGTTGTATGTGTGTGTATATTTCAGTTTTTAATATTAAAATCTTCAGTTAATGCCACTGCCTACTTTACTTTGGATTCACATAATGGTGTAATTTCTAAAACAATTGAACCTCTTTTGGACTATGAAACAAATCCTAAGGTGAGACTAAATATAAAAACTAATCATTAAAAAAATGAATACCCTTAATATTTTTCAATAAAAATGTTTTTAAAACCTACATAGTCAAAATAAAAATAACCAAATTTATACAATTGCATTCTCATATTCACCTAGATGAAGAGATTCTTTTTAAGAAAATAAATTTAGACACTTATTAGATTCATTTTTACCTTTTCATTAGACTTTATTGAAATATTATTTCAATTTTTATGTGTGTTTCTGCTGGTATGTATAAAAGTTGAAAAGGGATTATCTCCATATTCAACAGCATAGAACTGAGGCAGTGTTCTGGGTGAGTAAATAAAATTACACTTCTTATAGTCTTGAATTATCTAGAGAATTGCCTCTATCTTTGGTTTTACTTAACTTTGGTTTTACTTAACTGGTCTATCTTTTCATTTATTTTTTCCCCAATGTCCTGGTCAAATTTGAAATTTACAAATATTTGGAAAGAGAGTGATGTATAAGGAAATGGAAAAAATAACAAATCACTTTTTCCTACCAAATCCTTCTGGGAAATGGGACCGTTTAAATTCCAAATGTTTTCCAGTTTCCTTAAACATTTCTTAATGTTTCCAGTAGTAGATTTATCAGGATGTTTTTTTAAACATCATCTTATCTAGAACATGACTTTCTAATCGGCAAATATGTTGGCTAGAACTGTGTGAGAGTTAAAGAAAAAAAAAAAAAACAAAAACCAGCAACTATTTTTCCAGAACAGCTGGCTAGTTGCTTGTGTTACTTTGCACCCTGTATTTATAGGATCATCTCTCATATAGTTAACTTTGCTGTTTTCCACTCATTCCTAAACAAATTGACTTCATTCTTTTTGTTCCTTTTTTCTTTCAAATAATGTTCAGGATTATGAAAAATTCCCAGTTGACATTTTGATGTTAATTGCATTGAATTTATAAATCATACTAGAGAGAATTGGCATGTTTACCACTGTGAGCCTGGCAGATTCATTAATTTATTTAAGAACTTCATTTAAATCCTTCAATAGCTATTGTATTTTCCCCCATAAAGTTCTTATACATTATATGTATAGCACTCCTGTTCACCTTGAATTTTATTGCTAAATATTTATTTTCTAGTTATTTTTTATGATTATACATAAAATCATTAATTTTTATATCTTAATCTTGAAAACAGCAACTTTGCTAAATTTTTATATTGATTTAATAATTGCTAGATGATCTTTCATTTTCTATGTGTTAACATTCATAAAATACCTGTGAAAAATGATAACTTTTTTAATACTTATGACTTTTTAATTTATATTATATGCCTTTATTTCTAGTGAGCACTTCCAGAACAGTGTTTATTAGAAATATAATAGCAGGTATCCTTGCCTTATCATTATTTTAAAAGATATTCATTAAATGTTTAAAACAAGAATGATATTTGTTGTAGGATTTTGGTAGGAAATTTTCTTTTAAAGAAAGAAAATTTTCTTTATTTCTAGTTTTTTCAGGGCTTTTATCAGGAATTTGATATTAACTTTTATATTTTTTTCCTCCATCTGTTCAGGTGATTATATAGTTTCTTTTATTTTCCTTAACCTATTAATATTCTGAGTGACTTGAATTCATTTTCTATTATCATACCATCCTTGTGTTCTGGCATATAACCAACCCCATATGAGATAGCTTTTAATACGGATTGATGAATTCGATTTACTGATATTTTAATTTAATTTAGGTATTTGAATCCTGATTCTTTTTAATTTTTTTCCTCCTTTGCTGACTAGAGCTCATGGTGGTTTGTTTACTTATTTCTTTATTTCTTCATTTATTTCCCCACAAGGGGGTTCTTCTTTAGAAGGGCTATACATGTAGGAAAACTATTTGGACAATTGTAAGAATTGTCTGCTAGGCATCCCTAGCAGACAATTTTATATGGCAATTTATATGGCAAGTTTATATGTTAATTTCATGCCTTGACAATTCCTGGACCAAATTTAACACATTGACTGCCACACTAGAAAATAAATGTTTTCCCGTGGGGCCAGGGTATTTTATTATGAAAACAGAGCAAAAACTTCAAAATGAACAATCTTTTCTAGTTTAATGAAAACTTTGTTATTTGTTATTGTTTTCTGTGCATGAGTTATATGCAACTTAAAGAACAGTTCTCCTGCCTCCCAAGGCAAAGAGGCCTGTGAGTTGTATATGCTTCACGAGGGCCCAGACTCAAAACTAGTGTCAGTTAAATATAACTCACATGGCAGTTGATGTGTTAAAGTATGATCTTTTATTATTAATTTATTTCTCTCTCCTTTCCTTTCTCTCTTCTCTCCTTCTTTCCTTCCTTTCTTTCTACTATAATTTTATTTCATTGGTATTCTATAAGGATTGTGGAAAATTATTTTATTCTATCCACTAACCTCATCTAAAAGCAAACCTTCACTTGATAAACATCTGCCTTCCTTTGGTTAACATGTCAGTTTTCCCCATTAGAATGTGAAGTTATTTCTAATTTCATTCTTATCTCTAGTATACTGCACAGTGCATCAAATAGTGTTAAAAAATATTTCTTGAATAAAAGCATGATCTCTAGTTACCAATTTTAAGTGCTTTGTTAAGACACAAAATATCAAAAGATAATAGATTCTTTGGTTCAAAAACATTTTATTTAATATCTTCTGTATGCCAAATACTGTGTTTTTACTCTTATCTTGATTTCTAAGACACTACCCACTTCATTTTTCTCCAACATTTTTAATAAACAATGTATACATTTTTTCTCCAACTTTATAGATGTTGCTCCTACTTTTTTTTCTAAACAAATAGTTAATACGTTTCTCTTTGGATAACAACTTATTTAGATGGTATTATGTTGTTGGTTTATGTCAAATTTTTGTTAAATACTCCTTTTGATCTTCAGTTTCTTCTCATTTATTTAAAATATTCCTGAAATAGAAAGCTTAATAAGGTACAGTCTCATAGGATTAAATGTACTTTGAAGGGATTTTTGTTTATACACATAATCTACTTATTAATTATGGAATTATATTTAAAAAACAAAAAAATTAAAATATTTTTGACTTAAACTTACTAGTTATTACCTTATTAGACCACATTTCTTAATGTTTGGGCTTTGGAATATCACTTCTTTAAATGAAATGTTACATTTTTTGAGATTTCAAAAGTATTCATGATTTTTCCAAATTTTTCCAAAAGTCAGATACTTGTTTAGCTTCATAGATTATTTTTTTCTTAAACAATGAAACTTAAATTACTCTGTTGTTTTGATATTTCAACAAATTTAAATCTGATATGTTGCCTTAAATGTAGTATGCCGAAAACCCATGTTTGAAAATATGATCCACATTCCATGAAAATTGGAAGGAAGCATCAATTACAGAAATCTGCATGAGAGTACAAAAGATAATCTTTTTGACAAATGGCCTTAAGATGTTTTGGGATTGGTTCTACATTCTTATGCTTCCAACTTTTTAAAGTGTTTTTCTAGTTTTATTTTTAAAGTGTTTTTTATGTAAAGGGAAATTGCATATTTTAAGCACTCAAAAAAAAAAGTAATCAACGTTCTATCTTTTCTTTTTTCTTTTAGCATTTCCAGTTAGTGATTGCTGTAAGAAATAGACAAAACCTGTCTCTGGAGTCATGCATTGGCACCATCACTATCAACATCCAGAATGTTAATGATGAGAGTCCTGTTCTTATGTAAGCAATGAGTAATCTAAATATTTAAATGCTAAGATATAACCACTGAAACTTTTTTTATAGCAGGATAAATATCAGTGTTTTACTATTATTACTATTGTAAATTTTCCTAAAAATATTCAAAACAATCTAGAAAGCAAACCTCTTTGAGCTCTATATTATTGCTCTCTTCACATGCACTAGAAGTCAACTCCATTTATATTTTGCTCTTGAAACTACAGAAGAAAATAATTTTTTTGGGTGGAATAAGAATTCAAAAACTTCCTATTTCCAGCTATTTATCTTTAATAAGCATAATATTATAGAAAATGCATACTGATATATTTATTTTGAAATCAAAGTAGGCATTCAAGAGAATTTGGGCAATAAGTACTTGCAGATATGGAAATATTTATAGTCACATAGAAAAGAAAAAAGGGATTGGAGAATTTTTTGTAGTATTTTGTCATCTGAAATAAAAGTACAATTTACAAGTCAGTAGAAGGACTGGAAAAAGGGTATATGTAAGAAAAAACTTTTAAATTCATTTTATATTACATAAACATTTTCTAGTATATATAACAATTTACAAAGAAAAGAAATTTTTAAGACCAGGGACTTAAAACTGCTACAAAATATGTATTACATGAAATTTGAAATATTTGCTGTATGACATAGATGAAAAGAGACATTTGTTTACACTGACTGATTTAAAAAAATCCCTTTTGTCCCACAGAAACATACCAGATGCACCTATAAATATTTATGAAAATCTGCCTGTTGGAACAAAGCTGGTCACGTTGATAGCAACTGATAGAGACATCGGGGATTTAGTACATTATGAATTTATAGGTACACAAAAAGAATTTTCTATAAATGAAGGTATAATAATTTTTTTGTGGCAATTCATTTCATAAAGTATAATATAATGTCTTTTTTACTAGTTAAAAATAAGCCTGAATATCATGCTATTAGGATGAAACAATCTTTAAAATATTTAGTGGCATATTTAGCATTTTTTGTAAGGTAAAAGTGATTATTTCTTCCTTCTGAGAAGTATGGAAATGATCTGTATAATCTCTCTACTCTAAGAGAGTCCCAAACAACTTAAACCCACAATAGTGTTCTCTTGGATCTTGCTGTATGGATTTTTCTCTGAGAAGTGAATTTTCACATGGAAATTCCCATAGTTTACATAAATTGAATATTTATTCTGTATCATACATTCTCAAAAATACTTTGCATACATAATAACCCCCTTGAGTTTTTACTATCTTAATTCTCACCTAACATATGATGCCTGGAAAGGAATTTTCATTTGTCCAAGTTTATGTAGCTAATTTTTGTGACAGAACCAAACTTGAATCCAATCTGCTTGATTATGATAATTATAACTCTAAGTACATTCCACATGACCAAAAGTTAGGAGTTTATGCCCCTAATAACCTAGATAGAAAGCAAGAAGAAGAAGGAAAGGTTTCTCTTCTTCTTAAGAGGTGATGTACATTTTTGCACATCACAAGAACAGTATTAAACACACATTGTCTATCATATCAGTAGAAAGAGTCCCATGCAGAGAGGGATGGAGAAGGTGACTTGTGTGGAAAGAAGGCTTGGTTGGGCAAGTCAGAGCTTAAGCAGAGAGAGAAAAGTCTACTTGAACTGGTAGTGAAGAAAGGGACATAGTAACAGAGATAGAAAATTAGTTACATACAGGGGGATTGATAAATTAACTATGTCAAAGATAAATGAAGGCTGGTTTCACCTGTTAGAGATGTGAGTTACAAATGTAGAAGATGATAAACCTATAATGAACAATGTGAGGATGAATTAAAATTGAAGACATCAAAACAAACTTATGTTTTCACTATATGTATTTGTGCATGTATATGTGTGTGTAGTTCCATAAATAAATATTGAGGTAATTGTATGTGTATACACCCACAGAAACAAACAAATGTATATTTTTGTGTTAATATCCACCGAACAAGTGAAAGAGCTTAAAAGCATGATATCACAAGAGCAATGAGCACACCTAGTACTCAGATTATTGACTTCTAAATACCATTTTACCTATAAGAGAGGATTAAGAGAAATGGCTTATTTTGAAGCTGCATCAGTTAAAATATAAAATAAGCCAGAAAGCAAGAATGGGCTCAAAGAATGATGAAGATATGTCAAAAAGATACAGAAATTGGCTTGAATTGGTTCCCCCTAGCCAATTCCAGGGCAATTTGAACATCAAAATGAATAATAATATTGCAGATTATAACCCTTTTAATAAAATGAGACATGATTTGTCCAAAGAGACAGAAACACATAAATGAATTGACAGTTTGATGAAAAACAGGATGTTTACATAGTTTCAAAGTACCTCTCCACAAAAAACTTATTAATTGCAAAGGGTAAAACAACAACTTTGGAGTAGGGAAAACTGGCAGACACCTGCTTAACCAAGTAATTAAGAGACAAACTGATAGCATGCAATAAGAATATAGTATAATTTCTGTGATATTTAATCAAAAAACTACATAACCTGAATCTAATCATAAGCAAACATGAGGCAAACAAAATTTGAGGCAAATTCTCCAAAATTACTAGTCTTTAATCTTGAAAAGGGTGAAGCTCATAAAACTCAAGGGAAGAGTGAAGAACTTTTCCAGATTGAAAGAGACTAAAGAGGCATGACAATGTGTGATTCTGAATTGGATTTTTTTCTATTAAAAATAGAGACAATTGGTGAAATTTGAATGGGGTCTTATATGAGATGTATTAATATGAACTTACTGATTTTGATGTTTGTATTGTGGCTGTGTTGCACAATTCTGTTGTTTGTAGGAAAGATTTATTAAAATATTAGGGGATGCTGAGGCTTTCAGTAAGCAACTTGTTCTCAAATTGTTCAAGGTGAAAAAAGCTTTTTCATGATCATTTTAAAAATTTAATAATTACTCTAGAAATGAAAGGGGAAAAAAGATGATAGCTATAGGTAGGGAAGAGCCAACACTTTAAATCATATTCCAAAAATTCCTGAAAAAGCACATAAAGCAATGGAATACAACAAATACTCAAAAGTCTGGTTTTTAAAAACTTCCTTTAAAAAAAGAAGACTTAAAGCTACAAATTTAAAAAGGCAGACTAGGTTCCTGGGAAAATCAATGCCAAGAATCCTTCAGAATGGCTGAATCTGGGACAAATTTTAATAAACTATTAGATGTTAATTTAAAAGGGTATTTGAGCCCATAGGCAAAAAGATTGTCACTTACAAGGGAGTGATAAGTTGTAAACGACTTTACTGTAACACTTTTTCAATTAGTTAATGGAGTAATATATCTAGGAAACTTGAGGACACAAAATGTGAATTAAGGAATTTATATCCAGCAAAATGACCGTATAGATAAAGAAAGCCTATAAAATTTTAAGAACATGGAAGTCCTAAGGAAATATTGTTCCAGTAATTTTTTTTTTCTGAAGAATGCACTCTGAACAACCAAAACACCTGGAGAGGAATCAACATTAAAAAATGGTGATGAACTTGAATTATGTATTTACCTATAGAATAAAAGTAGTATTTATAAAGGAGAGTGTGTATTACACATAAAGATTACATCCCATTCAAATATACAATATAGTTATTTTAAAAAGCAACTCTCAATTAAAATATCAGTTTTTCATTTAGTTAATTTCTGTTGTTTTTCTCTTTGCATACCACCCCATCCTCCACCCACACCCTCTTCACCATTCCCACTGCACCCCAATCCTCTCTTTTGTGGATTCCTTGTACTCATTTTTCAGCGTACCCTCGTCTTCACTGTGTGCTCCCCACCCCAGCCACCAACACCCTCCCATAAAGTAATTTTTGATCTATGCAGTTTAGGAGACTTTTCTCTATCCCTGTCACTCACCCCACTCTCCATTTCCTTACAGATCCACAATTGTTACCAGCTTGTGAGCTTCATCAGATGAATGACTGACCTTTATTTTATCCCTAGAACTATTGCATCTATGCTACTACTTTAATTCATAACTTATTCATCTTTCGAATGCTGAACAAATTTACACCTACTTGCTTTTTAGATTCAGGAGAGGTCACAGTTGTCTATCCTTTGGATTATGAAGATGTAGCAACCCCAAATTCTTGGGTATTATACATTAGAGTTTATGACAATGAACGAGTGCATTCAACAACTGGGACACTCACAGTGATTCTACAAGATGTAAACGACAATCCACCTAAATGCTCGCAAGATATTTACACGTAAGTTATGATAGAAATGGTTTGATCTTCAGATTTTGGCTCAGAGATAAGGAGAGAAATAAATGGGTAAGCATCATACCAACTCTGGAATAGTGCAGAAGCCTTTCATTCTTTCTTTATTTTCAGACAATTGGTAGCTTCTTTTTCTGTTTCCTTTCTGGTACAAGTGGACCTGTTTTATTGGTTCTTTAAATTAAGTATATAACTTAAAGCTTTTGGAAAGGAATCCAAAAAATGATTTTGTCTGGCCTCATGCTTTCAGAGAGACAAAACAACTATGAATATTACATTAGAAATCACATATTTGCGTATATAGCAAAGTTATAATTCATTTTATATTTTACTGACATTAATTTAAAGATAGCTGTAAAGCCATATCCAAACTTATTTCTTTTGCCTGGCTTTTAAATTACATAGAGATTTAAAATGCAGGTATGATAGGTTATTTCCATTATAAAGATGAAATACCAAAGCTGTAAGAGTTCATTTACTCACAAAGTTTATACATTTAATAAATAGTGTGCTGGATCCTGAAACTCAATCCTGAGCCTTAAGATATTGTCCAGCACAGAATACCATAGTGCTCAGAACAGTCTTAACCCAGGAGTAATCTGGTACACACTCCTCTCTGGTATTCTAGTAACAAACCTCATTCCAACAGCATACATAATAATTAAGCTATTATTTATCATTATCAAGAATTATTTAATATTATTGCTATTGTAATACATTATATATGATTTATAAAACCTGAGGAAAATCATAGAAATATGTGATTCCAGCAACAAAAGACTATTTAAGTTGAAACAAAAATCAACTATATGTAGTAGACTTTTGATCGTCCTACAAGTTGAATAATGGAAGCTCCTGCTTAATGAGAATTTGCACTTTCATAGCAGAAACGATGTTTTATAACACATTATAGAATGCTTTTGGTGGTCTGCTCTTGAATAACTTTCTCCCACTTAAAACAATAGTTTATAAATACAAATGCAAGCATATATTTGATCACTTTATAGTAATCAAACATAGTCCAAAATCTACATATAAAGACAATGCCATTACTCTGTTGTATAATACTTAAATAATCAACTTTTAGTTTATAAGCATTTTACCAAAGATGTTTTGCTAGGAAACCAAAAGATCAAAACAACAAAGACTAATTCTGTAGATACTTCAACAGTAGTTAAGCTTTCACTTTCTATTCCAGCTAGTAGTATATAGAGTCTTTCTGGAGAAATATTAGAATATTTTTTTCTAAAACATTTTTCACATTAACAAATTAGACAACTCACCTTTTATTCCACTATTATTTTAATCCTAAGGTATTATAAATGCTTAACATTAGAAATACTCTTTTAAAGGGAAGAAAAAATACAATTTTTAATTGTGTGTACTAGTCAAGATACCATTAATTGCTATAAAAATTAAAAATGTATACATATTATTGGCTAAACCCAATAAGCATTTCTTTGCCCCTCATGCAAGAGCAATGCAGGTTGGTTGGCTCCACTGTGTGACACTCTGTACTGTAACTCAGGGATCCTACTTTACTCAATTGTCTGGCTTTGCCATGTCCTTCCCTTTTGCTCCCCACCAAAGAGAGGACAGAGAAAGATCCTGTGAACGTACTCCACATTTAATCACCTTATCTAGAACTGATGGACAGCCTTTCCACTTATATTTCACTTGCCAGAACACCTCCTGTAGCCAACTTCAGGAATTGCAGGGAAATATAGAGAGGGATATATAGAGAGGCATATGGATATTGGTAAGAATCAATAGACCCTGCTAACTGTTAAGTCAATAGTTCTCAGTTTTCTTATCTTTAAATTGGAGATAATGATATATTATCTGCCTAATGAAAAAGCACAGACTATTTAATCTCAAGAGATCACATAGAGATGTAGGATTTTTAAATATAAAATTATGAATATGAGGTACAAATTGCCATTTTGGTCAATGATAATAGGTGTGTCATACTAATTTTGTTTCTTATTAATTTAGCATAATAACAGTTCATTTCCCTTGGCCTCAGCAAGAATGCCAAATAATATCTTATCTTATACAATTTTTCACTAACACTGTGATTTTCCTATTGGCAGAGTGGTTATTTAAAATATAAGCACATTTTAAAATATTTTTTTTTGGAGACAGAGTCTCGCTTTCTTGCCTAGGCTAGAGTGAGTGCCGTGGCATCAGCCTAGCTCACAGCAACCTCAAACTCCTGGGCTTAAGCGATCCTCCTGCCTCAGCCTCCCGAGTAGCTGGGACTACAGGCACGCGCCACCATGCCCAGCTAATTTTTATATATATATATATATATGTTAGTTGGCCAATTAATTTCTTCCTATTTTTATAGTAGAGACGGGGTCTCACTCAGGCTGGTTTTGAACTCCTGACCTTGAGCAATCCGCCCGCCTCGGCCTCCCAGAGTGCTAGGATTACAAGCGTGAGCCACCACGCCCGGCCCTTAAAATATTTTTTATATTAAATGTTATTATCCTCAGAAATCTAGATTAATATATTACATTTTTTCTCATATTTTACTCATTACAGAATTGAACTTCCTGAAAACATCCCAGTTGAAACTCTTTTAGTCTCTCTATCTTGTACAGATAAGGATGGAACTAGTCCCAATAACAATATAACCTATCATTTGATTATGGATACTTTTTCAAAAGAAACCTTTACCCTCACAAACAATGAACTGAGAGTAAGTATTTTAAAGTTGCTGATTGTTTGATTGTGTCCCTGTGATTAACCTTAGATAGAAAAACATTCTATTTTTATATTATAAAATTCTTAATGAGCTACAGTAATTCAAATAGCTAATGGCAGAATTTGTTCCTGGATTTTCAGTTGAACCTTAAATTGCCAGCAACATATCTTAGTTTGAGATGAATGCTGGAATGCAATTTTGATCTTGGGAATTGAACTAGGAAGGTTATAAATTTCCTAGAACAAATGTTTCTATAATAAAATGCTGTGTATTTCTTTGGAATGTGTTGAAATTATCAAATAATTACCTTTAATAACTATACTAAATTACTATTAAACATGGACATGGAACTAATGTGCATACTTTATTACTTTATTAAACTAGAATATGCAATAACTCAAATATTTTACCAATTCTGGTTTTATTTCTAGAAAGTTTTGAGACCTAAGTGAAGCTATATTTTGCTATATTCACATATTTTAAAAAAGAATAAACAGGATTAGATTAGTCATTGTGTTCAGCAAGGATTCATGGGTAATGGATGAATTTCGATGTGATAAAAAGTTGCTCAAATCCAGGTTGGGTTTGTTCTCTTTTGCTGATAACAAACTCAACATGGTCTGAATAAGTAAGATATAAGTAAAAAGCACTTTCTTTTTCACCTTGTTTTGAGACTGAAGTCATTGCAACTGGACTTCTACCCAAGTTACGTTTCACAGAAACCCCTAACGTCTTTACTATTTTCTGTCTCACTATCTGTGATTGAGATGCACAGAATCACTTTCACAGTCTTAAAACACTGTGGTGTTTTTCAGCTCTGCCTTTTAGTCCTGCTGTTCATACTGCTAGAAAATCCTCCCCTGTTATTTACTTTGTGTCTCTGTTACTCATACACTTTTGCACAACTTTCATAATTTTCTTTACAGATCGTTTCTTTTAAGAGCCATCCCTGGTATTTCTCCTCCTTCTAGTCTGGATCAGGCACTTCTCCTTCAATTCTTACAGAATTTTGTATATCTCCCACCATAGCACTCATCACACTTTTCATCTGTTTCCTCCATTAGACAGTGAAAGAAAAAAGATCTGTTATTAAACTAGTGTCTGACACATATTCAGTGTTTTTAGATATATATTAATCAATGATTGACTACTTGGTACAAATATACAATTTATAACCTAGTGTTTGATAGATCAGTATGATGACCATAGTTTACAATAAATGTATGTTTCAAAATAGCTGGAAGAGAATAATTCAAATGTTTCTAGCATAGAGAAAAGACAAATATTTAAGATGATGGCTATTCCAATTACACTGATTTGATCTTTACAAATTAAATCAACATGTTAAATTATCATATGTACCCCTCTATTATGTAACAATAAAAAACAAAAATAAAACAATGACTGAATTAATGAGTAAAAATTGAACAAAGTTGAACTGTGAAATCATTTTGTAAGACATTGACAGGATTTGGTTACAGAACATCACCAAATACATAATAAATGCCATATTTTCATAATTCTTTGTAACCATAAGATATTGTTTTAATGACCAGAATATTAAAACAGATCCATATAAACTATATATATAACATTCATATCCTGATAATAATGGAAAGTAATATTAAAACTATCTTTGATTAGGAATATGAAGATCATGGTATTGTATAACATTTCTTGAATCTTACCTACTCAAGCAATTTCTACAAGAATAGAACAAAAGTACACAAAACACAAAATACATGAACAATTTTGTTGTTGTATTGGACCTCTTCTATTATCAACAAAAACCATGAAACCAGTCACATTAATTTTCTAGAACCGCAGTACCCCCTGTGGAAAAGTACCCTGGCTTTTCCTACCTTTCCCTGAAAATTGTGGAATATTAACCTTCATTAAACTCATTGGTATATGTTATAATCCCTTTATCTTTTTTCCAATTATTATATTATTGGAATGAGAACACAAGCATTTTTCTCAAAGGGTAAGTTCAGAAAGGGTTTTTAAAGTGGCAACATCCATATCTTGTACACCAGCCAGGAAAAAGAAGGCAGTTTGTAGAAAAAGAAACTGACATAATTTTAATGCTTAATGAATTAAACATTTATTAGGAGAACGTAGAAAGAACATGTGTTTGGCTTTCCAACAATATTTGAGTTTTAAACTCACAAAAAGACATAATTAAGATACAAATTCTTTTCAAAATTAAAAATAAAATTGATTTGCTCTTAGATGCTATCTAATAGCATGTGTATTATACTAATGGGAGAAAAAAAAGTGCTTAAGAGTTTTAGCCATCACTTAAAACTAGGATTTATAATAAGTACCAAGAGTTTTTTGTAAAAATAATGATTAAAGCTCTAGTAGACTACTAGATACTAACTTTAAATTTATCTTTACTCATTGAGGAATGATGTCTACCAGGGTACCAGCAGCAGCAATGTAATTTTAATGTTTAACACTGAATATCTATTTAATAGATCCAATGATTTCGTATGTGATATATTTAACTTATTAATAAAATAATAAAAATTAATATTTCTTGAAATCAGTATTGCTCAATCATATATTTTATTAGATTATTTCTCTTTAAAGAGCATGAACCTGGAAAATCCCATTGGTAAAAATTTGAATTTACTCCTGGTTTTTGCTTATTATGCATAGCATCGTAATGAACATTCTTGTGTGTTTCTCTTGGTGCCTACATGTAACACCTTCTCTGGCATGTATACCACAGAACAGAGAACTACCATATCATAAAGTATGTAAATGTTTAACTACACGAATTAGTGCCAAGTTGTTTTCCAAAGAGGTATATCAGTACCAGCAATGTATAAGCATTGTTCTTGATCAATATCCTTGTGGTGATAACTGCTACTCTGCTGCAGTTTAATATGCTTTCACATCATTAGGAGTAAGGTTGCACATCTTTTCATATATTCACCAATCTATAAATTAAACATGAAATATTTGTATTTCCCTTGTGTGAAAAGCAGAAATATGTACTTGGCCATTCTTGTTTTGTTTTTCTTATTGTTTGTATGACATGTTCAGATATTCTGGAAAATATACTATATCTTCTATAAATATTTTTACAAGTGGCCTTTCGTATGTAAATTTTTCTAAATGTAAAGCAACTGGTGTGATTTGCAGTGAAATAAGAATTTAATTGAGGCCGGGCGCTGTGGCTCACGCCTGTAATCCTAGCTCTTGGGAGGCCGAGGCGGGCGGATTGCTCAAGGTCAGGAGTTCAATACCAGCCTGAGCAAGAGTGAGACCCCATCTCTACTATAAATAGAAAGAAATTAATTGGCCAACTGATATATATATAAAAAAAATTAGCTGGGCATGGTGGCGCATGCCTGTAGTCCCAGCTACTCGGGAGGCTGAGGCAGGAGGATCGCTTGAGCCCAGGAGTTTGAGGTTGCTGTGAGCTAGGCTGACGCCATGGCACTCACTCTAGCCTGGACAACAAAGTGAGACTCTGTCTAAAAAAAAAAAAAAAAGAATTTAATTGATTTTTTTTCACCATTTGGAATACCAACTCTCACACAGAGATTTCTGTAGCAATCTGTATTGCCATCTCTGACATATATAAAATTTCTATATATGCCTGTGTCTGCCTGTGGTTATTTTCTTATTGTAGTTGTAGTTCTTGTTACTCAATTTAACTCTACAATTTCATATTATTTTAGTATAAATGTATGAGAAAAGGCATACTATAAATTTACAAGAGCACTATTAGTGTGAATTACTAAGTTCCTGTCTGATACCATAAAGTTCAGTGCCATTTTTGTTCTCTGTCACCTCTCTTCATCTACTTAAAAGGCTAAGAATTTTAGGATTGAAAAGTACATTAGGGATTATTTAATACTCTATTTTATTCATGGAGAAACTATTCTCTCCCATTTGATGAATTCATTTACAGTCCTCAGTTTCTGTAATTCTTGGAACACTGTAGAAGCTTAGCAATGTTATTTACCTACACTCTTCTATACCAACTTATCACCTAGTTGCTATATATAACTTCCCTTTCTAATAGATCCTCGCTCTTTTTTGAGAAAAATAGTTTATGTTAATGTGGCTAAGGCAGAAAAAAATGTCAGAAGAACTAGAGTCACAACATGCAATCACATTCTTTCCACTCCTCCTCTTGAATGCCTTCTGTCCTACTCTAGGCTACAACTACCATGAGGATTGTGTGATTATGTGTGAGCTGTGAAAGGGAAGACTCTTACCATTGTGCCTTTTATTTAAGATTGTTAAAGATCCCCAAAGCATCGTGTCTGTCCTGCACATCCTTCCCAGGAGAGTAAAGTGAAAGAGCAAAAATATGAGATGGTTTGACCTTTCCCACAGAGCAGATCTCAAGTTCTGTTTATGCACAATTTTGAAGCTTGCAATTCAAAATTAGTTGCTGAGAGATTATTCCCACTAATATAATACTAACTCAGCCCTAACTCATTTTGAAAAAATGTAAATAAATTCATGACAACTACTTTTTACAGATCTTAAGTACACAATAGTAACTATTTATGAAGAGAATGTATGGAATAAGAAAAAGACAGCCTATGACAAATGAATCAGTATAAACAAATGCATGTGAAATATGCAACCCTAGTTTTGATATTAGTATATTTCTACAATATAAGGTAATATTTACAAAGTGCCAGAATATACATAAATATTATCATAGTTTTACAATAAATTTATACTTGTATATTATAAAACTTTGCTTTTCAGTATGGAAGTCACTAGCTACATGTGCCTTTCAGCACCTGAAATGTGGTTTGTCCCAATTAAGAGAAGATATGCTGCATTTATGGGCTAAGTAATGAATCTCACAGAATTAACATGAACAAACAAATGCAAACATCAATGTTTTTGATACTCATTATAAGTTGAAATGATAGCATTTGATATGTTTGATTAAAATATTCTAATAATATTAATTTTACCCATTTATTTTTATTTTTTAAGATATGGCTACTAGAAATATTTAATTACATATGTGGCTCATGTTATATTCCCATTGGAGAGGGCTGTTATGAAGGATCACTTTAACCTATTTGTTACCAATATAGGTTTCATATGTCTTAGTTTTGGATTAATGTAAATTACAAAATAGATGTTTAACCAAAGAAACAAACTGTTAATTGATGTACTATTTTTCATCTACAGGTTGGACCTACACATCTAGATTTTGATAATGCTATTTTTGCAGGAATGTACTTCAAATATACATTGTTTATTAGAGTGTCTGATGAAGGAAGTCCTGTATCATCAAGTAAGAAATTATTAATTTGAAATATTAGAATAGTTGGGCTTATATAAAATACCTAGTATATTTACAAGTTAGCTCTTAGATGTTTATCATATTTTTAAAATAGTCCAATGATCTGTTATAATAAAGCATATAAATTATTATTCTTATATTAACACATTGACTGCCACACGACAAAAAAAATTTTTTCCCTGGCACCACAGCATTTTATTATGAAAAGAGAGTAAAAATTTCAAAAACAAAACGATTCTTTCTAATTTAATGAAAAATTTGTTATTTTTTATTATTTTCTATGTGTAAGTTATATGCAACTCACATGGCACTAGAATCAATTTTTACACTGCATTCCAATTGAGTTGTATGTGACTCTCAACATACTTATTGAATTTGTTTTGGAGAATTTAGTCTTCATATGCTTCACTAGTTCCCAGGCTCAAAACTAGAGTGAATTAAATACGACTCACATGCCAGTTAATGTGTTAACTTATTTAGTATATATATACTACTATTTATAAACCAAAAGTATAAATAAAATTTGAAACTAGAGTGAATGATACCTAAATGTTTAATGCAGCGCATTTTAATTATTAAAAAACAATGTCATAATCCTAGCACTCTGGGAGGCCGAACCGGGCAGATGCTTGAGATTAAGAGTTCAAAACCAGCCTGAGCAAGAGCGAGACCCTGTGTCTACTATAAATAGAAAGAAATCAATTGACCAACTAATATATGTAGAAAAAATTAGCCGGGCATGGTGGCACATGCCTGTAAACCCAGCTACTTGGGAGGCTGAGGCAGCAGGATTGATTGAGCCCAGGAGTTTGAAGTTGCTGTGAGCTAGGCTGACGCCATGGCACTCACTCTAGCCTGGACAACAAAGCGAGACTCTGTTTCAAAAAAAAAAAAAAAAACAAACAAAACCAATGTCAAAGGAACTTTTCTGAAATCTCTGTACATTTTTACACTACAGAAAATACTAATATTCACATTCTCCTAAAAATTGCATTTCCTTCATTATTTCTTTATGAAATGGTTATGCTAAAGTTTTTTTCTATCTATAAGTTTATTACCATTTAAAAATTTTGACAGTGATGTAAGTTGTTTTATAATGTCTTTATAATACACTTTATTTTAAAGCATAATGATAGAAAACTAAAACAATTAGAGAATGTGAGTATGATTTAAAATAAACTTGTATGATTTTTACAAATATACATTTTACTTTGCTGACTATATTTCAACTGGTGAATACTATGAATGTTCTTGGAAATTATGATCTTTAATTTAGAATAGTAGCATTCATGTAGAAACATATTATAAAAGGCAATTGCTTAGATAAGTGTTCAAAAGCAGTTAATAGAATTCTTTATTCCTACTTATTTTTATAATAAATACTCTACAATTGAAAAGGTAATAATTTAATAATAATATTTATTAATATAAGTGTATTTATATAATTGATACCATTGGAATTTAATATGCAACATGAGGTGTTAATTTTAACAGGAAAATTAAAGTAAGAATTATCAAAAATGATAATTTTTGATATATGATTGCCCTAGCTACATTTTTATGTACTTTTTTCTCCATAGCAATTATTACAATCATCGTAAAAGTGAGTCGCATAAATGAACTGAATCCAATTGGAAGTGCATCAGAATTTACCTTCAGTACATTTGAAAATAGTCCAATTGATACACTAGTTGGAAAAGTTACATTTACAGATGCTGACTGGCCATTTAATAATATAAAATATACAATTATTGGAGGCAATTTGGGAGCACCTCCCAAATTTTACATTGAACCAGATACAGGTATTGTAAAAACACCAATATCAATTAATAATAAAAATAAAGAACTTCAATATACTCCCTTGGAATTTATTTTACTTAGAAACTATGCTCATGAGAACATCTCAAAAAAAAACTCACAATTCTCTTTTGAACTATGTAATGTTCACCCTGGTTTATTAGTGTAATCATAAATTCTTAGTTACTGCAGTAAAAACAGCTTTGACTGAAGCTTTGGTCTTTGCTATATTGATCTTCAGAAAGCCTATGCATACGTATGCTCTTCCATATAGCTAAGAATGTATAACAGGTAACTAAAATAGTGTAGGAATTAACACCTATCATGATTTTGCTACTGAATTATACTTATTACACTTTAGGGGTTTGAGTATATAACCAAAGTTGATTTGCATTAATTAATTAAATTAATTAATTAAAGTTGATTTGTAGTTAATTCCCATTTGTTATTACAATGAATATTTCATTTAAATAGTTAATAATTTAGCATAAATTGAAGATATTAGCAATCCTGGGATAACAGGTCTTCCTTTACTTTTGTGTCAGGAATGATAAAGTTATTGGATTCACTAGACAGGGAAACTGAATCACAATACAAGATAAGTGTGAGAATAACAGACTTGGACAACGATGCCATCCCTGACCCCCTGAGGCAGAGAACTAGTACTGCTCAGCTGACCATCAATGTTCTGGTAAGAATAAGTCACTGTTTGTGATATTGTTATCCTTTAGGAGGCATAATCAAGATAAATAAAAATGAAAGAAAGTTATGAATGGTTAAAATTCAGTGACCTCAGTATGGACCTAGATTTAGAGAGTAACATGGTGGGTCCAAAAATACTCTAACTGTAACATACATTGATAAAATTATTATATGCAAACTAACCTGTGTGGACTTCTGAATTAATTTGATTATCTTACAAATCTAAACTTGGATGAAGAGTTCCTAATACCTCAGTTTGTATTAAGATATTGTTTGAAGAATCATTCTATGGTTCATTGTATTTCCATAAACAAGCAAACACATTCTAGAATTTTAGGAGATTACTCTCTTTGATACATTTTAATGTTTCTCTCTTTGATACATTTTAATCTGTTTCTTAGTTTGAGTGTTCTCTTCCTCTCTGGTTTTCACAGAAGAAATATCTTAATATTTTCACTAGTAAAGATTCCAAGAGATAAGCCACAGAGTCTCATAAACGTTAAGTATAGAGGCAAGAACTTCTAAGTTTTTAAAAAATATATTAAATGCAAGAATGAATGTATTTGACTTGGCTTATTCAAGATTTACATCAATGCAATACAGTACATTACTTTTATTGGCAGAATTATACAGAAAGAGAAATTCTCCTTTATAGATATTGCCAAATTTTCTTTCTCTTATGACTTTGTTTGCACTCTTTTTTTGCTGCTTGAGAACAGTAAGAATTCCAACACTGGGTCCTATGGAAAGCCAATCACTTATAAAAAAGACTGAAAACCACAAACATTGTTTAGAGCCTGCGAATACTCCTGCATGGTGAACACTTTCATATGTGCTCTTGGTGAGCTAAAATAGTTAGCGGTGTCCATGACTCAGTGTTACAATCCCCACTATAGGCTTATTATGTCTGGAAAACACAATAAACCAGGCCAAAAATCTTTGTGGAGAGAAATTTAATAAAGTGACTTGAATGGTTTCAACTATGACTCAGAGGATGTCATAGCTAATGAACCTGCTTTCCTTATGCAAACTTTCAATAATGCACCCCAGTACACTCTGAGTTATAGTTTGAATATCAATAGATGTCCTTCACATTTGCACTTCTATAAACTGACCATTGCCATTTTTGTTTTGTGTGTGAGCTACTATGTTCAAATAGGTATGAAAACGAATGATCTCTTTGTTCTTTGTCCATAAAAGCATTCACATTTTTTTCTCTTATGGGGTTAGAAGGATTTATTCAGGAATGAACACTTAATTTCTTGAGACTAGGCAAAGGCTATATATCCCACCATCAAATAGGTGGGCTTAAATTTTGCCTAATAAAAGTGAATTTTTGATTCTGAATTTAAATACCTTTTTTTTTTCTGCTAAAACACTTCCAACCAAACTATGGGTGGAAGGTATCAAATTGTTTTATTCAGAAAAATAAATTGAGGCCAAAATTCTCCAGTACAATACAATAATTTTTTATATTACATCTTCTTAAAAAAAAGATTGAAGCTGACATGTGAAGATAAGCACAATAAAGTAATACTTCATAAATAAAGGTAGAAGATTAAAATCATTATGGACTGAATGATCATGCCCTCCCACACCTCCTTCAAAATTCATGGATTGAAGCCCTAACCTTCAGTGTTACTGTATTTGGAGGTTATTTGTATTAGGAGGTAATTAGGGTTAGATTAAGAAATGAGAGTGAGGCTCTGGTCTGATGGGATTGAGGCAGGAAAGTGACTCCTGATGCTGGGAGCCACTTGAAGTTCAAGTGGGTCCTTGGCTTCATTCATGCAAGAAAGAATTCAGGAGCAAGCTAACAAAATAGAGTGAAAGTGAGATTTATTCAGAAACTACAGAAAATTAGAAAGTCTACTCTACAGACAGCAGGAGCAAGTTCTAATACATCCGTACATACATACATACATAACCAGCCTGATTATCAAATGATTATCAAAATCTGAACCAATCTGTAGTCTCAGCCCTTTAATTACCATACTCTTCTATCATTTTACAAAAACTAACCACAGACTACTCTTCCAATTCCTGTGGTAGAAAATTATTTCAGATAATAGCAAACATTATTTTCTAAGCATTTGAAAATATTTCATAGATAATTTTCCATGTGATTAAATATTTTTCATTACATCATTTTTATATCTTTTGAAAATTTAAGTTGCAGGAATTCTAGCATAGAACGTCTACCTTTCTTTCTAGAACAGCAAAAAACAAACAAAAACAGCAAAAAAAGACTTCTAGTGCAGCACCCCAAAAGCATGTTTGTAAACTCTTGTATGTCATCCAAGATAAACTAGTTTCAAAATGTTATGTCAAAAAGTTTTAATGAGATAAATTTTATAGACATTGTTAGCTATTGCCAACTTCAAATTTGTTGTTGATAATTGATTAATTGATCTCTAGCTTTCTGAAATTGTTATCTTCTTGGGTTATATGCTTTTAAGACAACTCTTAGGTCATGATAATCAACTCCAGCATGATGACAAACTGGTTTGTTACAAAATGCATATTCTATAGGAGCAGGAATTAAGAGGATATGTCTTCATTTTGACAAAATCAGGCACCAAATTTTCAAGGAACACATTTTAAAAAGAAATGAAGTTCAGAACACATTCCATTTCCACCCTAGAGGGATTACTTGTTATATAAAAAGACAATTCCTGACCACTAAAGAAATTTGAAAGTCGTCTCCTTGGCTACTGTCATTACCTAATGACATATGCTTACCTACTGCTGTCCTTGGACCATACATGTGCTTTCAGGTCTCTGGATTTTGTTCTCAATTTAATGTCTTTTACTCTCTTCTGCATCTAATAGTGTTCTACTTATCCTTCAAGGCCTAATGTATTCCTCCTACATGAAGCCTTACGTTTTAACTACAATGCAAGTGTTGAGTGAAACTGTATGGCAGTGCCTGTGCTCATAACATGCACTAATTTCTCTATTCTCCAAAAGCTTGCAGCCCAGCATACTTATTCTTATGAATGCATATCACTCCTACCGTGTTTCACCGAAAATAAGACCTACCCATAAAATAAGCCCTAGCAGGATTTCTAAGCATTTGTGCAATATAAGCCCTACCATGAAAATAAGACCTAGTATGGGTGTGGCTACGCAGAGTATCTGCACAATCCCTGAATTTTGTTGCAGAGGAGCAACCCTTCTCCTCTGCCTCATTGTGACAGCTACTATCCCAGAGGTGACCAGAAAGGTGCGGGCAGCCCCACCAACAAGGTCGGCTCCCCCTGTCAGGTCCTGGCCATCTTGTGCATGCTGCAAGCTGAGGCTTTGAGTGGAAAATAATACAACCCCTGAAAATAAGCCCTAGGGTGTCTTCTTTAGGAAAAATAAATATAAGACCCTGTCTTATTTTCAGGGAAACAAGGTAAAGTACTGGTACAGAAGATGCTCCTTTTCAGTTTGTGAGATCGACAATTTTTTTTAGAATTTAAATTTAAAAAACCTAAGTCACAAAAGAACAAATTGATGCTGTTTCCTGCTGTTCCTAAGCCCAGGAGTATCTTAATCAGCAGTATTACAATTTACGCAATTTACAATTTACTTCCATTTTAACTTAGAAGGCAAAGTAACTATGTCAAAGAATTTCCTGACACTAAACACCTTAAAATGTGTGATAAGATATAAGTCTCTAATGTAGAAAACTGATCTCAAAAGAAATTAAGAGAAATTTCCAGGGGCCAAAAATAAAGAGGCTATTCAAAGCCTCCAAGTGTCCTGGGAACATCTTTCTTCTCTGTGGAGAAGAGGCTTCAGTTTTCGCAGCCACTTGGAAACAGGAAATAAAACTTTGGAAGCAATAAAGTCAGGGAGTTGGAACCCCACATAATAAAGGACCGTCACAATGATAAACTGGAAAAGGACACCTTCAGATACTGGCCCAGGAAGACAACAAGAAATCTTGCCCATCTAGGCTTGGGATCTGAATTAAGGGGAAAAGCATGTCCTCTAAAATTTAAAGGAAATATATTGGCTTTGAATTATACACACTGCAAAATATTGGAAAACCCAAGGCAAGACATTAGAAAAAAAATAGCATTGGTGTTTTATTTTGAGTAGTTCCTGCAGGAACAGAAGCAAAACTAAACTGGCAAGGCCTAACTTCCACCCGAGCTACAGAAAATTCCTAAAGAAAATAACCTGGAAGAATATGAACTCAGAATTTAAAATCACAAACTCTTAGAAAACAGCCATAACATGCAAGGTATTAAACTCACCCCTGCACAGTTATTTCCTGCCCAGTTCACTGGTTATAACCTGAAATGACTGGGGCGAGACAACTTTGGACCTGGGTGCAAGGCATGGGCTGGCATACTTTTGTAATATGACTTGGTGAGCAGGAATGATTTGTGTTATGGGGTTTATTTCTGACTTCAGCACAGATTATGATAAGAAAATGTTGTGACTGTATATTAGTTAGTTACTAATTATTATATTAGTTAGTTACTAATTATTATATCAGTTAGCTGCTAATTATTAACATGCTGTATCCTGTTTACTTCTTAAAAATTTGCACAGCAGCTCTAGGTAGTATTAGCATATCTGCAAGTGCCTTTTGTGGAAGAAATGTGGAAAAATAACTGTATTTTAAATAGATAATTTGTAAAATGGAAATGGTTAGAAATTAGTGACTACAATGTTTATATACTAACACCAAGCTTCAAATCATCAAGGTGTCATGCATATTTTAACAAAGTGTTTGGTAGTGAGAATTAGATGTAGTCCTGACATTTAGAATGGCCCTATTTGATTGTAATAAAATAAGCTGGAGGTTATTTAGTACTATGTTGGTTGAGAAGTTGTTACTATGAGCATGAAACCAAGTTGCATTTTTATATGACAAGAAGCCTCATATCACTCCTAAAAAGCTAGAAAAAATGATTCATCAGAAAATTGAAAAAAGGTGCTAAGACCAGATGCACTGAAGAAATTTCAACAGGTTTTCTTATCAAATGA